TCGTTATAAATACTAATGACTCAAACATAGAACCTATTTCTCCAAATGATATTATGCAACCTACTTCAGGTGATCATAACTTCGAGTTGATGGAAACTCATCAGCCACTTATGAATGGTTCTAATTTGAGAACTGGTGAAGCTAATATTCATCCCAATCGCCCTCAAATATGTAAATATGAAGTTTGTGTACGGTCGGGAAATTGTGTAATCAGAGTCCGACTGGACACAGATAATTCTCATTCCTTTGACACTTTTTGTGTTCCATGTCTCCCTCGTCCAGGGAGCGCGGACGTGAAGTTAGTTGTATCGAACGAAAAGCTTGCACAAGAATATCGTGAAGCATTAGCTAGTTTAGCTCAAGCCGTCGAAAACCCTGATCCCGCACACTTTCGTGAAAAACTCGAGGACTTCCGGAGCAGACTTTGTCATGATGTTGGTCATGGGGTCAAAATTTTGCGCGGTGAATTTCAGGACCTGAGGGCTAAGTCTGCGAAAAGTGTTGCATCTCTTCGTAACCAAAGTTCTGTTGCTGCACAGCGCATGCGAGCAGGGATCTCTTACGGAGTAGAGCAAATGAAAGACGGTATGCGCAGTGTTGCTGAACTTTGTGGGGCTTCAAGGACAATTGGTCAAACTATATCAGTTGTAAGTGTGTATTTGGATGAAAAAGATCAAATTAAAAGGGAAAAACATATTTCTGATTTTGTATTTTAGTTTCGATGTTCTGTTTTGGTTATATTTCTGTTTTTCAAATACATATTTATAATGCGTAATTGTTTGTACTTTTGTTGATTTATGGTTTGATATTTTTCGGGTCTCTGCTTACTGTATATCTAAGGAGTTATTTCGTTTCACCATAAATATATTACTCGGGTTAATCAAATGTCTTTAAGAAACCAAAGTAGATAATCATAGGTGGCGTCAACTATTATTAAAGGTACCTAGAAACTTCGCCAAACCGTAATTACAAACGATAAGGATGAAAGTAGTGTATTTAAATTAAGAAATGTGATTGATCTTTTGTTGTTTACAATAGTCATCTATACAGCTTTACTAAAAGAGATTCGTGAAGGGTACATATATGGCCTGGTCGAACATTCATTAATTCATGATTTTAAGAGGAATGTCCGTTCAGTATCCCAGTTTGGTAAAACAGTTATTCTGTTTTCGAGGTCAACAGATATATGATGCAATAGGCTATCCAGGTGTTAAGAAAAGAACCAAAGCAAATTATCTAGAGTCTAAAGGAACACGATCCTTTTGAAATGTCTTGATTTTAGTAAAAGGAAAGTGAATACCAAATATATACAGTGCTTTGAATAAAACATCTATTTAACAAATAGTAATTATTTGAATTTACCAACAAACAACATTTGTTTGAGGATTTAGGTGTTCTGTTGTTAAATATGGTTGAACTCGAACTCTTATATGCCCGTTGAGGTTTTGGCATTAACCCAGACTACGGATATATTTCATGAACATTTGTAAAATTTAAAGCCCGTGATAACACTTATCATTAGGGCATAATAAAAGCCAAAAGGTTAAAGGTACCCTCTCTTATAATTGGTATACCGGCACAATACGCGAACATCATGTGCGAATTGTAATCACAGTAGATTCTGTTTTTAACTTTAAAAATCAAATTATAGGCAAAACAGGTATTCTTATTTTTCATAACGTAAAGGGTTATGTACTTGCCTAGCAATTTTACGAAGTCGCCTATGGATATCCTGAAATTTTCTTGGAAAACCACTTAGTGATAGCTGGTCTTTAACAACTTTAATTAGCTAACCATAACAATTTCTGTTCCTCGAAATAAGTTTTAGTAGAAAGTTTCTGGAGGTAGGAGTTAATATTTCAGCTTAAAACCTGATCTGTCGAATTATTTGTGGACCTGCTTAGTTCTGAAATTCCTTCAAAACTCTCAGATAAGAAGCATAATATCAATGCTGGGGCAATTTTAGACTCCATATCGCGCGTGAGACGGAGTACATTACATTTGAAGTATTACTAACTTAAAACGCTATGACTTGTTTGGGAATACAATAGACTTTTATGGAGTACTAACCTGATTTGTATGGCTATAGCTGTTTTAACTAAACATATAGTTAGCTGTAAAGTTTGCGACCAACTAAAGAATATGCTAGAAGCCTATTATGTAAGTGAACCATTTGTCAACTTTGCATTAAATTCCTTGTCAGCATTGGGGTTTATCTAATCATGTATTTAAACTGATCGCATTCATACATTTACATTGTAAAGGAGGCTAATCAGTTAAGTTGCCGAGAAGTATTACTTAATGTGCTGATTTGCGATTGAATAACCTAAGTGTTGGTGCCACCGGTAGCGTAGGCGAGATTTCTGTCTACCAATCTCAGGATGAGTGTACTGTTTAGCAGTTCGTTCTGTTCCATCTTGTGGCTGTAAAACATAGCCTCTGAAAACGAAAGATTAAACAGGAAAGTAAGAACACGGAGAAATAGGGACACACGTCGTTGTCTTATTATCGTATCTGCCAGCGCTCTCAATGACTGCAGTTCGAGTGAAGTTAAGGACAAGCTTTACAGGAAGATTTCTACTACACAACGCCGAACGCTCAGAAGTACCAATCGTGACAAGCTTAAACACTCAAGCACGTAGTTTAAGATAGTCCGTTTTACTTTATGAGTGTGAAGCATGGCCACTAGGAGTAGATATCCCTAGGTTACTAGTATTCCACCATAGATGTCTTTGAACCATTGCCCGTGCATTTTGGGACTACCGAATAAGACCTGCTCAGGTTAGACGCAGAGTATTTGGTAAAGGTGGGTAGTCGGTTGTTGAGGTAGTAAATCTTGATCACACGAGGTGGTTGAAACTTGTGTTACGTATGCGCAGCCGCCGCCTACGTTGACGGGTCATGATGGTTAGTGTAGAAATAGGTTGGAAGGAAGCGAAGGGGGCAAAACCTCAACGTTCATCAGCTCATAAAGTCATTGACTATTGTCATAAACCACTTAGGTACGTGCAGATTGCCTACTTGGGGTCCGCGCAATCAATGGGTAGAATTGAAATGCTCAAAACAGGACAGATGTACTCTATTTATTTTCTCTAAGTCCCTGAATCCCGAAATCTTACGACTTATTTCTTCACTTTACCTTTTCTACTACTCTGGGATTCGGCGTGATATCTTTATTTCAATAAACTAATATGGTGTGACAATTTGAGCCGACGCAAATAACTCTGTCAGTCAGCTACAACGTAGGACGAGGCACATATAAGCATCGGTTCAAGTTGCTGCACCTAATTAGCAGAACATGATGAGCAGCAGATTCATAGTAGTTACTTCAATGATAGTAATATATAAAAAGAAAGATTGCATATAAGGATATAGTACAGGAAGAAAGAATTAGTTTTTAGAAAGAAAGATATGAAGCGGTTTTAATCTCGTAGTTTAAGGGAAGACAGAGTCTATACACCTACGCCATCGTGATCGATCCTGAGCCATGTCACCCAAAGTCTCCAACCACTGGTTACGATAGTCAAGTAGACCCCAACCACGTAGTATGCATCTACCAACATAGCCAAGACTAAAAGTGACTTCAAGCACTGATGACACCTTTTGGTTTGGCCGCCCTTCACTTTCTTCCAACCATCCCCAAAACCAGTCAACATTTAGCGCCGTGGTAATCGGTGTTCACGTATACGGAACAGTCGATGAAGATTCACAACCTCATCAACTGACTTACCATCATTCCCTAGTACCCTGCGTCTAACTTCACTATGACTTATCCGGTGATCCCAGCAATACTTATAAGGCATCTGTGGTCGAATACTAGTAGCTTGCGAATATCTTCAACTCTTAACGGCCACGTTTCGCAGCCGTAAAAACAGGACGGACTGCCGCGCAGTATACTCGCCTCTTAATTGATAGACGGATATCTGATCCTCGCAATAGGTGACGTAAGTCGATGAAAGCCAGATCGGCTTTTCGAATATGTGCTGTCAGACACCAACCCCATTTGGGTTGATTAGACTTAGAAGATAAGTGAAGTTGTCAACGCGTTCGACTACGTCACTCTTAATCCTTAGTTCAGGTGTTAACGCAGACCAGTCCTGGAGCATTTTATCAGCGTCTTCACCAAACAGGACTATATAATCTGTATTCGACACACATAACTGCCAGGTCCTACGCTGCATATGACTGAGGATTTTATTTGTAAATATTTCGTATATTTTCACTTGAAATTCAAAGAGAGTATGGGCCTTACTATAGTATGTTTCGACTAGTGAGGCATACATATTTAGTTAGTTCGCACTTGATTGAGCGGTAGTACGCTGGTCCTAAGGAAAAGTGTGGCTAGCGAACTGAATAATCAACCTCAGTCTGGCTGCATGCTAATGGGTAATTATTTGAACTGAAAGTTAAGTAGAATGAACTAAGGATTATCACATAGGTTAGGGTCGTCACAATATGACAGAGCCTCATGTGTGCGACGATATTTCAGGCCATTGATTTACCCGAAGACGTATGTGTATTCTGGGAATGGCAGATTATTAGATCGACTTTACACTTATGATCACTTTCAACACATTGGGCCAACAAACACAGATACCATTCGTATCACCACAACACTGAAGATAGAAGACGATTAGTATGAAATTTGAAAGTTTACTATTCTAGTAAAATATTTCTTGAGAGAATTTTTTAACTGAATACTGTGTTAATGGATACTACTCTTGTTCATTTACTTACCGACTATAAGGATCCTTTCCTTTCCGCTTCCTAACATACAGTGATTTTATTAATGTGGTAGATTTTTGGATTTACGACTGTAGAAGAATTTACACGGGTCATAAATAAACAACTTTTCTCTTGCACACAATGATAACTTGTTTGATTTTGGAAGTTTTCCGTACATAGGGTATCAGTATTAGTTCTCTGTGTAAAAATACATAAGCCTGTTCAATGTTAAGTAATCGAACTCACAATGCACAAATCAACGGATCGAAAAGTTATTTTTCTTGATAGACAAGATTTATTTTAAGTCATTAACAAACAGAATTGTTAAAACATATATCTACAGGGTTATTAGTGGTGCGAATAACTATTTATGGATGCCTATGGAGAATGTTTTTAAGTTTAATTTCTCAACTTGAACAGCTGGCGGGGGTTCACTTGTTAATAGATCCACAATAGTTTGAAGGAGTCGTCCTTCCTTATTTGTTATATCCCAGTTAACCACGCTAGGACTTTTAAACTTCTGTTCCAACAGTCCATCCATGCATTTCCGTAAATCCTAAAAGAAATGTCGACATGAATGCATATAAAAAATGCGATTAAAAAATAACTGATAAAGAATTGTCATCTGCTTCCTATAAGAGAGAGTATCCATTAGGAACTGAAATAATATTGTGAGGTTATATATGTTTGTTTTATCAAAACTTGCAAACTTTTGATGACTTTAATTACTTTGAAATAACATCAACTCATAGATCATCATATTCGATGCCTGAAATGGTTTGATAATCTTTGATGATTTTATTAAGTGATGTAAAACCACATCGGTTTTGTAGACTTTTACATTCGATAGTTGAGTAAATTTGACTATGGATAATTTCATAACTCTTCTGTTTTACTACAGGCTACTAAATGTAACCAATTACCTATAAATACAATTATACAGTCTAAGAGAATGATATCGCCATAAAGGAACTCTCCTTTGCTGGAAAGCCTTCATTCTCTTTAGTGCGTTTATGTTGTTCAATGTTTGCTAAAAATACAGAACATGTTTCCTTTTTTGCGAAAAGAAGAAAACTGTATATAAAATAATATAATTTGATTCCAAACAACGCAACACCAAAAAACATGTACTATATGCTGAACCATTCAGGAATCCGACCGATAGACTTCAACCAACACGAAGTTGACTGATTACGAATGTTGACATTAATTTGGTGCAGCATTGGTTGATATATGTGAAAACGAATCTCAATAGAGAGTTTTGGTCGTCGATATGGTAAAAAAACAGTGGGTAATATTCTGTTAATAAAAATATGAATGGATCATGGAAACCAATTTTTTCAGCGACTCCTAACTCTAGAGATATTTTGCTTCGATCTACAGTTGTAAAAAATGTCATACATATTAATATTATGATAGAACATCCAAAAAGGATAGGAATCACAACTATGATCTGTAGCTAAGGTAGGTAGGTACACCTAACTTTGTGCCAATGCACGCATATATATGAAGCACCGATAAAAATCGACCTGGAATGTAGTTTTAAAACTAGAAAACTAAGAGGGTAGAAATTCATTAAAAAAGGAATAATCACATCAGCAAATCGAGATTTTTAAAGCTGAAAATACATTTACATCATGAGAAAACACATGCTCCTAAACTGATTTCAACCAGTGTAGTCTAGTGTTGGATCCATGGACTTTAACAAAGTTATGTAGGGTAAATTAAATTTATTTTCTTACGTTTTCAGTTAAACGCTTATGTTTACTGGGAGTACTATTGGTGATATCTATCTCACTCCCAACAAGATTTAAATCGCCCAGACACAACTTTTCATCAAAACTTCTAGAAATTAATCGCTAGTGAGCACTATTATTTTAATCAAAGAATAGATACTATTTTACAGATATCAAAACATATTGGATATTTAGCTACATCTTCAGATTTCTCTTCAGGATAAATAAACGGAAAGCGTATTTCAGAAACAAAGTTCAATATTTTCCAGACAGGACTCTTAAGACATACTGATCATTTTTCTTTTCACTATGCTATATAGTACAATTATCGATAGACTCTTTCATATATAAATATACTAGAATAAAATAACACAATGATATTTCACTAAAAAAATATGTGATCTATATTCTTCCACTGCATTTAAAAAAATTTCGTCTCATTCATTTTAAACCATTTCTTCATTAGGTAGTCATTAATTAAAAATGTTATACTAGAAAATCCTTTTGTATGGTTGAAGATCGGCAGCAAGCAACTCTGGATGTAAGTTTCTTGTTGATTAGTACTTATCAGCAACGTACACCAGTGACTGATGGGAAAATAATGTGCTTCGGAGGATTCGAACACGCGTCACTCAGATTCACAGTGTGAGACGTCATTACTGAGCTGTCTCCTGTACGGTAATACCACACGTATTACAAAAAACTTACTCCCTACAAAATGAAAAGTTGAACCGTAGTCAGAAATTATGCTACAGTGCTTTTATCATTTTCTAGTATGAATTCATTTCTATAAAGATAAAATAGCCTGATTTCCAGATTAAATTGGAAAGTTTACACTTTTACTTGCTGGCAGTGCATTGTGGGTGTATGACAGAGTACATGAATTATTATTGCAACCATAGTTGTTTTTGTATTATGTTTTAGCCACAATGCTAGTTTTGAAAAATAACCAAGGATATTAATCAAACACTAAGCATAGAAGTGGCATTATTTATTCAAAAGACCTGAGAAATAATAGGTTCCTAGAATGTATGATTTATCAAATTAATCAGTCACCGAAAAGTATGAAATGATATATTGTGTTACGCTCAAGAGTGATTGGATCACTGGTGACACAGTAAAGTGAAACTTTACGTAACAGTGAACCTTATTTTACATGAACTCGAGGGTTTGTATGTAAAATTAATGTATGTAAATGCATATTAGTTAAAAAATCAGTCAATAGGAAAGGATAGATTTAATCACTTTGCAACTAACTTTCAATAAATTGACTACTTTTAACTCCCCGCTGAATTTAATCCATTGATCAATGGTGAAAAGACTTGTATCATTCTATAAAAGTAGAGGAACATTTTATTACCTTTTGCTGACGCATACTACATAAAATAATTTTATGCATTGTCAAACAAAGAAAAATAATAGGTTCTGACACTAAAAAGTGATTATTCGTATAACAGACTATGCTTACTTAGTGCTAACAGTTTCACCAGTTAACTTTAAAATGTTGTTAGTAAGCTAAATAACCCGATATTGCATTTGATACTGAATCGCTAGGGGTATCTGATAGAAATATTCAGACTTGGTCATAGTACATGCTAGAATTCATTAGCAAAGAATATTTATAACTCAAAACAAGGATAGATCTAAAATTGCATTACTTAATGCTACGAATGATAAGGTTCTAAGGAGATATGACTTTTTTTTTATCAAGAATCATAGAGCTTACATTCAGTTATTCTTGTCCATATTTTTTGATCGTGTAATATAAAATAATTCATCATTTCAAAAATATCATGCCAAGTAAAGATTTAGATTTCTATTCCAGTAAACCGGCAACGAAATCCTTATAAGTACTTTCTTGTATGGACGAGTACCATACGTCATAACTGAAATAATGATCACTTGCGCCAAAGAAGAAAATGTATTTATTATTTTATTTTCATTAACAGTAAAGTATTGTAGAAGTGCTTCTAAAGTATGATAACTGCAATCTGTTAGTCACAAAGCATACAGATTAAATGAACTGTGAAAAGATCCATTAACTATTTTGAGATGTTTACCACAAATATGAGAGAAATACGAATACAAAATCCTTTAAAACAATATGAGATACAAAATATATGTTATTTGTATGCTTTGTTAGTTGATAAAATCAGTCATTAATCTGACTCAAATCCGAACCTAAAAGCCTGACTCGGATGCTATCATTATGAAGTGTACTTAGTAGAGTACTGAACTAGTTATAGAGAACTCTCGACAGTCGAAGCAAATGATGGTTAACAGTTGGATCCCATAACCCCGTCAGTAGTACATAAACGTCAGTCAAACAATCAAAGCTAAATTAGACAGTTCAACCCGCTACATAAGCAGATCAATACTCTGTTTCATATGTTTTATATTGAATTTCTTGATTACAGCAAGCTATAAAATGTATAACTGTCTTGAGGACAGGTTCGATTTCTGTTGAGTGAAAGCCAAAAACAACACATATTAATCTGCAACGTTTATAACAGTATTCGGGAGTAAGAATTTGAGCATAAAACACTGAAAAATATATAGCTGATTCATACTTGAATAGGATAGTGTTTGGACAAATGGAGCCCATTTCCAACACACTACGTTTTGCGTATCTTAGTGGTACTCATAAATAACATAATTCGAGGACAATGAAACTAGAAAATGGGAATGTTCTGTGTGTAACACATTATTTGAATATTGTAAGTCAGTGTGAAAAGTTTCAATTTGTAAACTTTTCAAAACTCTTGAGATATTCTAAGGATTATTTACAACAACATATTGATTAACATATCACGAATCTTAGTCTTAGAGATTTGATTTTTCAACTAAAGTCTGAAATATAAAACTGGTAATAATTCTTAGTAATTTTTAACAAAAAAGTTGATATTTATAAATAAATGCGAAACAAAACAAGAAAGAAACATTTGTAGACTATTAAATTGTGATTTCAAATAATCTTTTGAAAATCGTCTAATTTAAGCGTTATTAATTTTATCTTCTGAATTTAGTATAATTTAGGTAAAACTACTTTAAAAATTCAACATTACACTTTTTCAGCTTTTACATAATTTAACAATCTGTTATTTACAAAGAAAAATATAACAGAATTTCTGTTGTAATTTAAAAGTAATGTATTATGCTGGAAAATTTAGATTTTTCATAGTTATAATTAAGAAATAAATAATTAGGTCACTTCAAATAATGATAGTAATGGTATGCTTAACAGTAATATAAAGCACTAACCTTTGATATTTCTATATTACCGCTGAAAAATAACAAAGGTCTCAGTGATATGACAGTTGAGTCGAATATGGATGGATACTGGAAAATAAATCGATAAAATCAAAAGATTAAATGTAGTTATTACTTTTTTTTCTATTGTTTATTATTGTTATCATCGTTACAGAGAAAAGCAATAATTCAAAAATGCTCAGAAATTTTTATATCTAAGTTTAGTTGGGATGATAGGGTGATGACTATAGATTAATTAATTCAAAGAAAAATCATTTGATTATATTCTAGGCAAACAATATTAGTGATGACATTAATTGCAATGTGATCTATTTTTCTGTCATAGAGTATGGAAATTGATGCTGTATGAAAATCATCATTTACTCAGAACGTACACACAATAGTTTGTTGTATATATCACCAATCCACCACTTACCGTAAAGAAGGAGTAAGTAGAAATTTAAACACAATCAAGTATGAAGTGGTAATTGAGTCAGTGAATATTAAGGTATGAGTTTTGCTTACAAAATACTCGATAGTCTCAACCTCTAGATTACACACTTCAAAATAAATCAAAATGGTTTTTTTTGGTGGAGTTTTGTTCTCTGAGCTGGATCATCAGCACAAACTTCTGAAGTTTGTGCTGATGATGTCGTTCAGAAGAACGATGAAAGCTTTACGACCAAACCATCCAGCTCAGAGAACAAAACTCCACCAAAATCATCCACCTGAGCTACAAATCTTCTCCACCATCTCAAAATCAAAATAGTGTTGATAAAGATAAAACGGATGTATTTTTGTGGATTGTTTCAAGTCTAACTGTCTAATGACATGTTAGATGGTAGAAGTGTCTCTTCTTCATTACAATGTTCATTTAAATTTCATTGAAGAGAGGAAAAACAATGAATTGAGCAGAATAACATGAATTCATTTTATTCCGTTAGGTCCTCATCAGCTGATTACAACTTACAATAATCCAAAATCAAAATTGTTGTAAAGTTTACATATTTATGGCAGTAAAATTAAATATACATCATTACGGTGGAATAGCGATCCGAATAAATGTAATGAGATTGAAGAAATATGAAAAGAACCACTGTAAGCTAAAACATAAAATATTAAATGAGATGAAGTCCCAAACAAAAAGTTTTGTAGTTAATAACCAATTAGGTACGATGCTCACGTGAAAACAAAGATGGTTTCGTTGAAAAACTCTTAATACTGAATATAACACCTTGCATAAATTGATTACATATCCGTAATATAATGAAACAAAAATATACAGATTTTAGCATCGGTCACGCCCTAAATTAATTGACCTAAATATATAATGAAGATTAGACTACTTTAGAACCTGACTAAATGAAATTTATGACAGAATGGGAAAGTTAATTCTAGGCATGAAAGCATCATTTTCTCATTCTTGAAGAAATATATAAATAACTTCTTCTAGTTGATAAGTAATGGAAAAATGCAAATGAAATAAAATAGGTTTTGGATGTTATTTGAAGTATGAGATCTAGATATGTTATTGAACAGTTTTAAATAAACTTGTTTTTAGCCCCTAGGAGAACATTCAATTATTCAGTGATTAAAACAGCGAGCAAGAATCAAGCGCTAAAAAGTACAATTTTTGGTGTTAAGTATTTGGAAGTTTACTCAAAGAAGTGTGTAATAGGTATTATTAGATATAAGACAACTGATGTCTTGGACAACATTAGTCCCAGTTTGTCAGTAGTTCCGATCAAACTATAAACATATAGAACCTCCTCAATCACTGTTTACATTTTTAATTACACTTTTTTTATACCGAAAATCGAATTGCTTATTTCATTACTCTGATTATAGTCGACAAAAACCAAGCAATGTCATGCAACGTAAAGTTATGTTGTGGTGTGTGCTACTGATATCGACAGATATAAGTAGTATATATCAACAATCGAAAGTGGAAATGCCCGGCGGTAGAACGATGAGAAAATTGAAAAGGAAACGAGAACAGAGAGTGAGTGGTATGGAAACGAAGGAACAACAAAGTCTGAGAAGACTGATGGATATTTTGCAAATGAAGTATTACTGTATGGTTTTCAGATTTTACCACGATATTCTGTAATGTGTTGAAATACATTTGGTTTTCCTGCCATTGTTCTCGTTCATTACAATATGATAGTTGTGTTTGTCTACTATGTTTATCTAGTGGCAGTCAATTTAGAAAGAAACTTTAATAAGATTTAACAAATAATAGTTAGAAAGTTTTGCATAAATAACTTATTTTTATATAGTATTAAAAATTGTTTAAGTTATTTAGGAAATAACACTTAGGGATTTAAACCTCATAGCTAACTACAAAGGAAATAAGATTAAGATAATGAAGCAAAATAGTCTATTACACAGTAGCAATAAAATGAAAGTTATACTTATAAACTTGTGTACGTGACAATATCTATTAACTAAAAAGCTACCATATCAACGTTTAAATTAGGATCACAATAGTAGTTTAATCATAATCAGTTATTTGAGCATAGCAAGTTGGCTTCTAGTTAATTAACATAATTATTTCATTTCCATTTTATACGACCTTTTTAACACCAAAATTTGACTTCATAATTTTAAATAAATTGAGCATTTGATAGAATGTTATTAATAAAGTCATGATTTATACGTGGCATCCTAATGAGTAGAAATAAGAATTTCTAACGTCTCACAACTATTTAGTTTAAGTCGTTTCTCAAGAGAGTAATTAAATAAATAACTGAATTAAATTAATATAGGTTTAAATAGTAAACGGAACCAGGATAGAATGTCTAATCTAATTAAAATAAAATAGGTTTGATTATATCGATGTTTTGTTGTCCGGTCAAGATGTATGTGGGACATTACAGTGTATATTTGTGTATACGCTAGTGGGTGTGAACAATGTGAAATTTGTGTATGTATGTGTGTATTAAAAGAGTCAGAAATTAATAAAATTAAGTGTAGTTGTTTGGATAAACGGTCCAAGTTAGATGATCATCATGCCCTTTTTCCATGAAGAGCTACTCACCTACCTATATTGTTGGAAAAGCTTTTTTGAATTATTTCGGTGTCTTTTGAATTTATTTTATGGTCATTGAAGATGGCAACCACTGCTATTGCTGATTTTATTCGAAGCTTATCAAATTCTACACGATAACTAAGTATTTTTAGTTAGCTTAGATGTTTTTTGGCTGGAGTCAGGATTTCAAGAGAATACTTTCTAATATATAAAACATCACAGTCGACACAATATAATTTGTAGATGCAGTTTTGTGTAAAGTAAAAGAGATCTCTTCCTTTATTTGAATCCCAGGATCTCGAAAAGTGTTAGTTGTTTTATGGACGATACATTGAAATTCTTTCGTCGTACCATGGTGGTAGGGTAAAACTACCGTACCAATACATAATATTTCATTTGAATTGTTAAAGATAAATCGTTTATTTTAATACGTTTTCAATAGGATTCCTAGGAAAATTGTTAAATCGTAAGATACTTAGTGTTATTTTGTCCCATTAATTTATCTTCTGAGTTAATGATCTTGGTAGCTCTTCTAAATAGATTTAGAGCCAAGGAAATTATTTGCACTGAATGGATGTGCACAGTTAAATGTCCTGGTTTTCGATGAGTGGTTAAACTTAAATTTCCATTAGAATTTCGCTTAACAACATATTCTGCATTATTTATCTCTACTATCTGATTTTGTGCTGATTTAGGGTGGAAAAGGTTTGTGGCTCAGGTGGGTGAAGTTTCATTCTTTAGGCTAGATGACTCAAAAGTGTGTTAATTTAGTGCAGTTATTTATTTGTCCACTCTCTGAAGCAGTTGCGAAAGGTTAGGAATTCTAATTTGTGCTCATTGGGATATACAAAATACATCGTGATTGTATTTCTTGAAAATTATTACATGAAATAGTATGTAGTAACCAGTTTGAACCCGGAGTTATCAGGCAATGGATGATAAATTCAAATATATTCCATAAGCCTTCGCAAATCAGATGAGATTCACAACCTAGTATGTGATTGTTGGATTGGGTTAATTTTCGGTGTAACAGACAGAATGACCATCCTTATGAAACTGAATTTAAAGCTTATCATTTAATTGTTCTTACGGAAACGCTTACATGTATAACAAAAGTGACAGAAACTAATAAGGTACTGCCTATTGGAATTATTAAGACAATTTTCTAGGTATCACATTTCAAAAACAGATTATAAACTAGACAAAATAATTAAGACATATGCCTTATACAGCACTGCAGTACTTCGAAATATCAAAATATATTGTGTGATTATTGAAAATAAGAGTATTTAAAAACTCACTGTTTCCAGCAGGTAAAACCCATTCAAACAATTAAGTTTAACTCATGTAAAGTCAAATACTAACCTTTCTACAAGAAACAAAACAAATAAAATTTTACTGCTCATTAATCTCTCCCGATTTATCATAGACTGACTGAGGAAAGAACTTATTAGAAACAGCTTATAAACACTGAATGTAATGATCTTAATCCGTTGATTCTTGAAGCTTTAATTTTAAATTCATGCAAATCAGTAACTAAGTACAAATTCATCTATGGATTCTTGAATCAATTTAGTTGTGAAGGGTTGTAACACTTTCAGATTACCAAAAGCGAATTAAAACAAAAGTACGTTAAGTCTATAAAACAATGACTAAAAGTCAAGTATTTTAGTCACCAAGTCAAACAGATTACGTCATAGGTCAAATGACGCTGAAAATGTCAGTAACTTAAATGTAGGTATTATATCTTATAATAATTGTTATGAGAGATGATTTCAGCTTAAGACATTATTAATGCAAATTGAAATATAAGATAAGATAACAAAAAATATATTCATTTAGTAATCTATGAATTACTGCTTTCCGAAAGGATATTTTTAAAAAGATGAAAGTTAGCCTACAATTTCCCATCCACAATAATAATTATATAATGTTATCGATTAAAAATTACGAAATAGTTGTCAAAATGATATCTGATTGTATAGCTTGAATCATGTATATGATATGATTGCAGAGAAAAGTATCAGTCAATATAACTAATTAAATCACGCAGTTTTTTTAAAAGAAAAGGTTAAACTTACAGATCCTGATTCAAGCTTAGTTTTTGTAAAATAAACCATCCATATAGGCTCAGTTGGTTGAATTTTACTATTTACTGACGATGGATGAATATTTGCTCTACCCTCAGATGGACAAGCCATAATAACTGGTACTTTAGGTTTGCCTTCTTTACTAAATTATTACAAAGAAATAAAAATAATGGTAAATACAAAATATTAATACAACTTATATATAAAAAGTAAGTCTTTAAAGTACGACGATTAAAAAACATTGAATTGTAGACATAATTATTTTATACATTTCTAATTAATTATGGAATGTAAGTAAATATTAAATGTGGAATATCTAAAAAGTAGTACAACAATAACAACGTAACGAGATATTGTGCAAACCATGTCTCTAGTTTTAAAAAAATGCGATAAAAAACAACAGAAGGGATAAATTTATCAAAAAGACAATTGGAAAGACGAAGTAAACTTGTTTAAAGTGTTGAGTATGATAAAATGTGGATATAGATTAAGATAAGGTGCAAAATCTTCCACTGTCAACTTTCAATGTGCCTGGTCCTACGTTGTAGTTGACTGACTGATTTCGATGTTAGGGAAGCTGAAGAATAACTTACACATCAAAACACTAGTTAATCATTGAATAGTTTAGGAACAAATAGTCAATTCATTGTACTGTTTCCACGCTCCACTATTCCTACTGAAACTGTGTATCAAGGCAACAATCCTACGAATTCCGATGATTGATTAATTCATCTTATTTATCTAGAACTTTCAACCTAAACTCACAAATACCAATTGTGTATTAACAGAAACACAAATTTACTGAGATTATTTTTGGTAGTACATGCAGAAAAGACATTCGCCAGGATAGTTAATAAAACACAGATCAATAACATTATATTTCTAAGATTAAAGGGCTCCGTTACTACTTAAATAACTAATCTATGAGTTTGGAGATTAACAGGACGTTTCTTACCAGTAAACGGCAAGTTGGATATGTCGAAGAAATACATAACAAAAGGACGAAATAAATTAATATTTGTAGGATTATAATTTTATCACAAAAACTATTAAAGTTTAAGAAAAATGTTTGATATAGTCAACAAAGACAACAATAAAAGAATGATTATATACAAAAGTGAGTCTGGAAATCCCGATAGATAGAGAGAAAGATTTAACTTTGCGATACAATAGTTGACAGTTGTTTGCTCAAATATTACTCGGTGTCATGATACTGGTCATTTATTATACAATATAATCTTAAAAATAAGTCGATAAATAAGTGTACAAGTGAATTAATTTTACACAACTTAAAGATAAAGGTCATAGTTACAAACAACTGAATACTACTTTCTATTATTTTTTTTTACTAAGAATTGAACTATGCAAAAGAAAATTATTTTACACTCTAATTAACGAACAAAAAGATAAATTTAAAAAGAAGTCAGTACGTCAAATAGTTGAAAATTTCAGATAATTATTATTAACTTGAAGACTAATGATGAATGTATAAAGCAAAGTAGGAAACAATGGTATTGGATTAAGGATTTCTTTTCATTAAATGTTAATTGTAGTTTGAATAAATTTAACTTTTGACTATTCTATTCAAATGAAACTGACAACTATATTAATTTCTATCGTTCAACATGGTGAATTCGTTACAATAATTTGAGACTGTTATTAAGAGGACTGACAAATAATGATGAGAATAATAGTAAAACTTACGTAAATCGTGGATCCACTTTTACAATATTTGGATATAATGCTGCACACATTATTGCTCGGAAAAGATTGATATTCCCTGTTTCATCAAAAAGGAAACAAAGATAGTTATGTAACGCATAAATAGTAATTTAAAAAACAAGAGGAAAGATGTTACTACATACCATTTGGAAAACAATTATGTTTAACTATGATATATTACTACTGTGATTAGTTTCACTTAACCAGTCAAATATTTTGCAACAGCGATTAAAGGTAAACACAAGAAGAACATGCCGAATGATGGCTGTTGTAGATAGAATACTTGACTTAAGTCTTTGGATAGTTTAAAATCAACAACAAGACCACTAACTTGGAGAATAAGCATTTTCTGTAATCAAATGGCGCACTTATATACAAAATATCATTATGATACAATGTCATAAGTAATTGAATCTAGTTTGTACGCCACTCACTCCCTAATCAATAAAGATCTGAATGTGAGGCCTACATTTTGCTCATCATATGGCGATTCCACATGAAATGATACACGATCCCTCTGTAACAACTCTAGTAAATTGATGATACTTTAAACATGTTTCATATATTACTTCAATTTTATTGAAAATCATGTTTTTGTTTCTTTTATTGATTACAACAAACATGTTGGCATGAAATGAAAGATTAGACAAAAATTTAGGTCAAAAAATTATCAGTTAATGGACACAAATCATTTAAACATGAAATGAAAACAATCTGTAATAATAATAATAATAATAATAATAATAATAATAATAATAGTCGAAAAATAACCTAGTTCCATAATCTAAATTATGTCACAACAAAGAATTCTCAAAAATTATTATGCAATACTGAAATAAACATCTCTTTAGCATAAATTAAAATTGTAATTATTCAAAAATTACTTTTAAAATGTTTTTTAACAGTCAATATCATGTATTAAATCATTAAAATTTTCTACCCGTTCAGCTGCTATAACTAATTTTTCATTCATCATACATAAGGTGTTTGAATCCGAATACATTTATCTTTCAATCTTCTTTTCAAAGTTTAGATAAAAAGAGAAATATGCCTAGAACTGTATTCTAGTATTTAATATCACAATAATTTATTGTAGATGATTTAATACAGTTGGCATTCGTAGTAACTTAATTTATAGTAGTTAAGAATGGGTAGGCCAATTGCAATATTTGTATACATTAAAAAAACAGGTGACCAAAATATTTGAGAGAATATTGAAATTGGAGGACATTATTCACTCAATAACTGTCCATATTGTGAGTTCTATTTACACTTTTAAAGTATTTTCAGACATATTTGATTAGCTATCTATTGAAGTCATAAGAATCTAAGGTATACAATGCAAGAATATTACAGATTTACATATTTTCATTATGTAAACAGCCACCGTTGTACTAGTTATCTGGACGGAAGGAATGAGTTTAAAAACATTTAATATTTGATAAAAAAACTCCATTCTGTATTCCACGAAAATGAATACATATGATGTATTACAGGGATCTAGGGTGAGCAGAGATGATTAACGAACAAGAATATGTTTGTCTAGTGTAATTTGGTTTTTAATTTTTTTTTTACAGATTTCGATACGCAAAAAAGTGAGTAATAAGAGATTGATTAATTATCATCACCACCACACAATAAGGTACGGCATGATACTAAAGTTAATCAAATGAAGATCAAGAAATAGAAACGATTAGTAATAGATTTCCATAGAACTGATGGGTTATGGACAATAGAGAAAGCTAGGACGCGCATTAGACCCTAGTTGGGACTTCATAGCTACATATAATTTCATTTTATTGTAGACATCAACGAATGAATTCGCAGACAGTGTCTATTTCTCTAAAAGATGAACGCATCATCCCCTGAGTTATTGAGTCCAGATAGCCACTCACTTCTACAACAGGTATGAAATTTATAGTCATTAAAAAAGATTTTAATTATCGAGTAATTAACATTTTGACTCATTCTGTGCAGAGTGCATTGATATAACCATTTTGTCAAAAACATTTATAGGATGAATGGATGATCATCTATCAATAAAGACTGGTCATAATTCAACTAAGAATATCAAAAATAGGATAATTTCGATCCAAAATAGTTTGTGGTTTGAGGAGTTACGCTCCGGTAAGTTAACACTTAGATGCTACGAATTATGTGCGTCTAATCGATGTCACTGTTATACAATCAACATGGTTTAATTGTATTTGCTAGTAAGGCTAAAATATATGTGAAAAGAAAAGACGATTTGATTGCGAGAGGGATTTTGTCTTATACAAAATTCAAAGGGAGATATAACTGTTTAGTATGCAGATTTCATTTATAGCCTTGTAAAACAACAAATTAGCAACTTACAAATTTAAACAGACAACGAGGCAATTGCGTGATTAACCGATTTTCAGTGAAGAAAAGTAAGAATTTGACAAGAAAATAGAAACTCTAAAACCTTTTTTTATTAGGACAGATAAAAAAAATGGTTTGCATTTTTTTAGCACATCATACTGACCAGTTTTCGAAGAGATAAAACTGGATAGTAGGATGGAAATCTTTGATATATAATTTATTTGTAAGTAAATAACTTGTGCGCAATGATGCATGGTGGCTAGCAGTGGAATTCAGAATGCAGGTTTCGTCCTATTTTGGACTTTTAAACTGGATGTACTTACATCCCAGAGCTGATTTTCCCTTCGTGACTTGGACAGAGTACCGTTCGCTTCAAACGCTATTGCGTTATTCATTTAGCTACTGAGTCCTGGTAGCCCAGGAAACTAAAAAACACCAAAAGTAACCAACTGAGCCGAGAATATTCTTGATTATTTCAGATTCATAATAATTACTATCAAAGATAATTGTGATTCGAAAGAATAATTTAACCTATATAAATTAGATATTGCTACTAACTTCGAGTGAACACGTTCACACAACAATAAAGTAAACTTCCAGTGACCATTTTCCATCAACAAATGCTCTTCAAATATGAGAGAACTAATTAGTTAAAATTTAGAAAAAAAACGAAATTATAGATGACGTATAGATTTCGAAAATGTATTCGAGAGAGACAATATGGATCACTTTTAGTACTTTGATTAACATAATATGGTGTTATTTAAAATAAGTATAAGTATAATAATTTATTAGGTAATAAGAAAAACAAATATTTCATTTAGTAAGAATGCAGTACATAAAAGTTTGCATATATCAAACAATATGGATTAAATTTCATTGATGAATTTCGTGATATGGAATTATGTATTAAAATAGATCGGATTATCATTATTTGTTATAAATAGATTGTGAAATAGTAACAAAACAATGACCACTCATGTCATTCCACTTTTACAAACACACAAATACGTAATAGAACCCAATATTCCTAGTTCTTTGCCACGGTGAAAGACCATAGAGCGGTTGAGTCAGTATGCTAATATAACAATTAACAAGTCGTTTGAAATACTTTCTAAGTGCAGTAAAATTTTTTTTGAAAGAAATAGCAACTTACATTGATTACAGTTTGCATTCGAATCATTAGGTTTCGGAGTACCAATATACCTTCGTTCATATAACAATTGTGCATAGTCATTCATAAGTCGAATAATATCCTATGAAAAAAATTAGAATAATAAATATGAAAACAAAAATACACGAAGATACTGCATTGATCGATGAGAATGTATAATTAAAAATAATGACATGAATGTAATTTGCATTTATCAACAAACAGACAAACAAAATTAAATGCACATATATATATATATTTACTTATGACGTGAGATCACATGAAGTAGTATATCATGAAAGATACCATGAGAACATCAATAATTTTTACAGACTAATAAGCATAAAATCAATTTATTAGGAGAGAATATGAGTCGTTTCTATTTGATTGTATATCATTGAATGTTATGGAAATAAAAAAGGTAGATAAAAAAAATTAATTAGTTTCACAGCTCATATATATATATATATATATATATATATATATATATATATATATATATATATATATATATATATATATATATTGATAAAAATGATAAGAATAAAAATCTCAATTATTTTTACAATATGATGGAATCCGTGTTGCCTTTTACATGTCGAAAGGTATTATATTTTGAACAGCTGGTTTTAGATTATTCCAAAAAAAAAACAAACAACAAACCTCTAATCAATAAACCAATTAAACAATACCCTGATTGATAAAAATCATAAAAAGTGTAATGCGTTGATGAAAAGATTAAATTTTATATACTTTGTATCCCTTAGATTACAGTGTACCAATATTTCATATTAAGTCAGTTTCAGTTCAAAATAAATGACCTGAATGTACGAAAGAATATTAGTTTTTGAGTTCAATCGATCACTACTAATAAGAAGAAAAAATGGCTACAATTTGTGTTTGGGTAAAAAAAACTAATTGCAAGAAATCTTTTTTTAAAAAAAAATTTATGGAGATAAGTTCATAAGACTAAAATGATTAGAATCTGAAATTAGTTATCATAATTTAGCAATAAAATAGAAAATATTAGCATTTGAAGTAATAGATACCGGACTGTAGCTTGAATGAGAATACTAGTCATTTATCTGGTATCTAAGGTAAAAAAGTCACAAATTCAACAATATGAGCTCTTCGAGACTAACACTTCTAAATGACTTTTATGACATGTGAAAATCTTACTTGTTAACAAAAAAAGCTTTATTTATAGTTCATTTTATAAAATTATTTTCAAAATCCAACTTCAATAATAATTTTAATACGTTTACGTGTCATGACATTTTTAGACTGAAAATTCCATTAAATGTATATGCAAACAATTTACCAGTACTAATTGAATACGAAATAACTGAGAACTATTTTTAAAAGTTAATTATCAGCTAATTGTTCAGTCAATAAAGTAATGAGATTATATTCATCCTTCTACAACACAAGTTATAATTATGATTACTGTTATTTTGATGTTTATTCATTCCAATATTTACAAGTTAGCTACATCTGTTAACAACACTACATAGATATTATTGAATGTCCGACTAAGAAAACGTCAGGATTCTAAAAATGTCATAGAAATTTGGATTCAGATCAATCCACAATCAATAAACACGTTGGACTAAGTTCAAATTACCCACCCATACAAACAAGGTCAATCAATAAAATGATCAAACATCAACAAAAGAAGACAGATGAAAATAACCATTCATAAATAAGGTCATGAGAACTAACTAATTTGATGCTTGTAGAGAAACTGCGAAGCTCACATCTGAATGAATTAGATTTTGATAATGTTGTCCAGAATGACAATGAATGGCTTGCAATTACATAATCTAGCCTATGGAATACGACACCGACAAATTTGACACTTAATGTCAAACTTTAAAATCAAAGAGCTAGGCAAATTTGAGATCATTGGAGTTGATTATTTGAATTTATTGGAAAGAAATTTGTACAAATTAATAGCTCAGTTACCATCACTATAATTGTGCAAGACGTTAAGGAATGATCAAAATGTGAGATAACAAAAAAAGGAAATACTAATTAGTATTTGAACAATTAAGTAAAATTATTCAACAAAACAAAGTTTTGAGCTTTGATAAATTTTTACCTAATGTGTGTATTCAGTCATACAGATAACTAAGATTTGTAGTGAATTAAATAAGTTGTACCAATTCTTAGGTTGTTTTTATGAAAGAAAGGAGAGAAATGAAAAGTGGATTTCAAAGCTATATTTATTTTCATTTTGATGTTTCAATGGAAATGAAGCGCTTAAATCATTGATCAATACATATTCATTGAATATAGAGTAACCAGTCTACGATGTTGGTTTTATGTGCTCAAAAGATTTATTAACCTAATCCGAAAATAGTAGAATGGGTTTAGTGTGACGTCAACAGCAATATCTGCAAAATATTATTGAATGGGTAGAATGATTCATAGGTTGATAGTGACGATGCAACACATTGGGCTATCAAATGTACAACTGAAGCATAAAACTGATGTAGACTGGTCATATATATATATATATATATATATATATATATATATATATATATATATATATATATATTGAAATGCACAATGCACTTTAGTCAGTCAATGTAGCGCCTGATTCTAAAAAAAATTTGCAAATACATATGCCACCATTTCTACCTGGTCAATTATAATGTACTTCGTTCCAAATATTAGCTATAACATACGTACAATCGACCGATGATGATGTCTTGAAATGAAGTCAAGAATTTATCATATGATAACATATTTACTGACATATAAACCCAGTAAAAATTAACAGATTTAAAACCATATTCGTTTCTGAAGCAAACTAAATGCAAAGAATTTACTTATCCGGATTATATGAAGTAGTTATGAAGAAATCAAATATAGTGTGAAAATATCGTTCACCTATCATAAGTGAGTATGCAGAGAAGTAGTTTGATCTGTGACAATACAAATTCGCAAAATATGTCTTTCGGTTGTATAAAAAAGTGTTAAGTTTGACGACATTTGATTGTTAAAGTCTTCGGAGGGTTGTTTGTTTATGTTCAAAAGAATAAAAAAGTAGTATGGTTATATCACTATGTAAAGGAAGTTAAACGTCAAGCACTTAGGTATTTATGCTATTTGTGATGCATGCTTAGATAACCGCCTACTCTGAAACAGCACACCGATCAGTATAGTCAAAACTGAAATAACTGTGAGAGTTTAAAACAAGATATGAAACTATCTCACGACATCAAAGACTGTTTGGATAAGCTTTGAGTTTTTAGGCGGTATAGGTTAAAATTGATTGGATAGAACCAGAAACATTCACCATTCAGCTGCCTTTAAACTCGGTTACTTTATGCTTTTCATTCAATAATGTCATTGATTTCCATTTCAACTCATAAATATAGATGACTCATTTGCAATCACTTGTTTATTCAAAATGATGCACTTTTTTCTTAGTGTTAGGTCCCGATAAATAAAATGAATGTTAACTTTGGGATCCTTTTATGGACCAATACTAAACGTATATTTTTATCGTATAATTGTTAAATAACTAAGCTATTCATATTCCGCCCATTATAAACTTAATTTTGATTTATGAACCATTATTATACATTTTACCATTCTTGAATTATGCTTTGTCTATTAGTCACTGCCTTCCTCATTCACAGCCACATCTGGCTAATTCTTGTACAAATGTTGTTTCATATTTTATTGGTACGTTGTGGTTTGTTTGATTGGTATATAAACTCAGTATGATTGAAATATAATGATTCATATCTCAGAGGCTGAGATTGGTGTTCTGGACATAACTAGGTGGGCTAGGTGGAAAGAAGGGTCAATCAAAACTCTAGACTGCTCGCACGTGTTTTGCGCGTCTTTGATCCGATCGATAAGTCACTGCTCTCTAATCGGAGGTCACAAGTTATAACACTTAGGTCGTCTGTTCTTATTGGTATTTGGTTGTTTAACATATTGAAAGGCACTAAATGAGATTTTTTTGCTGTGTTCTAAACTGAGCTTTAAAAAAAGCACATAAATTCAAAATATATTCTAATGAACTAATTTGAATAAAAAAACAAGATTTTTCAAAGTTAGTGATAGAGAATTGATTAAATTACCTTTATAGTATGTTCATTAAGAAAATATCTTCGACAAAATTGATGACGTTCGATTTGTGAATTAAGTCCTTGATAACTCTAGGAATTTTTTTATGCAAATAAAGTGAAATTAATGAATATAAATACTTTGTAAGTATTTAACTACAGAATAGTTTTTAAAACATTTCATAACATCTAAATATAATTTTTACATTATTTTAGATATGAAAATGAAAAAAACTTCATAAAATCAAATAAATAGTGTATTGGTTGGTTAGCACATGAAAGCCACGATGTAATACAGTCTCCAACACATAGCTCTGTTTATTACTAACTAAATATTACATATATTACATTATATTACATTTTTGCTATAATGTTCAGCTGTCTGCTCACAACAACATGCAATCAGATTTATTTCCATTCTATTTTCTTATTTGGATTTCTAAATATTGCGGGTTGTAAAAAATGATGAGAACTTAACGACACAAAAGATACTATTCAGTGAATAGGACATTTTCATTGCAATGATAACGAGATGACAGTCGTTTACTCATTCGCTTTACGATCACGGATTTGTCGATTTATACCTAGCTTCATCTGCTGTTTCAACGTCAATATACTAACTTTACCCCGGAAATAGTAAAAATAACTTACGTTTTAGTAAATGAACTTTCAGAAGCCTATTGAAATGTATCGTGGCTTAACTGAACTTCAAAATTTAGAATTCAACCAGTAAAATTTGAATACCAGAATATATGACTGGGTGAGCCTATCGTATCATTTTCGACATACAATTTACATGAAATCAAGAGGCTATCTAATATATGGTTTTCGTCTATGCTGGTAATAATCCATGAGTTCATGCAGAACCTCCAGAAAATGTGTGTTCATTTTGAGAGTCGGCGGTGTGAAAACATGATAAATAGGTTTGAAAGTTATTCCACAACATTAAAGAAGCAATTCAGTGTTCAAAAGTGACTTAAGTGTCATAATTAAAGAGAAGCAGAAGGAATTTATGATTATTTTTCGAAGACAGAATATATGTGTTAATATGTTTAAGCACAAGGGATTATGAACTAATACTATTTGAAAGATTTATTGTTTAGAATTAGATCAAACTATCAAAAAAACGGACACTATACTCTCTGGTCGAATACTTTCCTGCTTTTTGAAATAGACAACTGAAGCTATATACAAGCTGTATTATATATAACTGTATAGAAAATTATTCGGTAATGGATATGAAATAAAGTTTCGCATTTATTGGTATGCATCGTCAAATATTCTTGCTCGTCTTGAAAATCTATATTTGCACAAAATATACACAATTAGTAGAGATTTTAGAAATAAATAGTTATGGAACTAACGTCTGTAAATTTATGATCTGGTAAAAAATTCATACTTTGGCTATCAAAGGAATTTTTTAAAATATAGTACCTTACTTGAATAACTGTAGCAAATACCCAATGGTCGCTTAAAGAATTCTGAGACAATTCTATTCGGCATCGGTCAGCCTCTTGTTGTTTTTCTAAAGGTACTTCAAATGGATCACGAAATGTTAAACACGAAGCGACAGCTAAAATTGGTTCTAAACAACCAAATAATGCACCGAAAATTAAGAGCTTAGCACATTGTGGATCCAGTGGAAAATTGGCTAAGTGTACACCAAGAGGAGTTAACTCATCGTCATCTTCATCTGTTGAATCTAAATGGATACAACTAGAATCCAAAGAATCTACACCAATAGCATTTACATCCTTTTTAACAGCTTCTGAAAATTCTCGAAGAGACTTTCGATTGACTTTATGACTTTTTTCATGGTATTTTATTGAATGAGACGCATTAAAATTCGATGTTTCCGATTTGATTAATTTCAGAGCTTGGATTTGTCTAAGAAATATTAAAGTTTTTGAGATAGCATCTTCAGAAGGAGAATCAAGACAATTGATTAAGAAAGACTTTACACGACCAAGACCTAGCAACTAAACAAAAAACATACACACGAAAAGTAATTAAGCGAACGTACAAAACAAATGAATTCAATTGTAAACATAATAAAATTACAGCATACATTAATTTCCATTTATGATAATGGTACAAGTAAATCTCCAAACAATCTAAACCATATTTATTTGACGTTATGATTTCTCATCATTTATTTACTTTTTTTAACTTCATCATATTCTCATAGAGCATGTTTATTCAATACGATATATTATTAGGACAGATCCTAAGCTATTATTTTTCAGTAGCAATGATCATTTCATATAAATAATTGGAGTAACAACTCCTTTTTTAAAGAATATCACTTGTAATCTAATTGTAATTACAAATGGTGTAAATTCATTAATCTAACAACAAAAATTTGGTACCAATTGAATACAATCAACATGTTTAATAATACATGGGAAAATACTGGGTGGTTAGATGTGGCTGACAAGAAACTCTCCATTAAGGTTTCTTGCTAACCGGTATTCGTAAAGCGGATGGAGGTTCAGATCCCGCAAGGATCGTTTGTGCCCCCCAAGACTATAGGTAAGCATTGCTGATGAATGCTAACCAGAACAAAACCCAGTTTCAAGGTTTCTTATCGACAAACAAGAACTGAATAACATATCACTATAGTGCATTCGATGACTAGTTACTTACATTAATGAACACATTTCAAAGGGATGGACACAAGTCGATCAGCACTAAAAGGACTAAACAGCCATGATATTGACCACCACTCGGTGATCAACCAACTGTAAATATCTCTCTAAAATTATCAAACAGACGCTTAAAAACAAGCTATGATTATTTTAAGTAAAGTATACAACCCTAAGCAAAACAGAAAAAGTCGTTGAGTTCGTGATTGACAGTGTAACTCCGTGAAAAAAATGAGGGTAAATAATTTGAGAAACAATAATAATAAAATAAATACATAGTGATAGCAACAAGTTTATTGATTGATTGAATATAATATTAATGTCGTCGGTGTTTTTTTCTTTCAAGTTGCTATTTTTCAACTAGTCCACTATTAATTGTACACTAGTGAAATCGAATAAATATATTCATAAATGAACGTGTGTTCAGTGCAGTCTACTTATATAAAGTTGAAATATACTTGTGTTTGATATTCTTTTATGTAGGTCAATTAAATTCATTCATTTATTATTCAAAGTGTTTAAATTAATACCGAGAGATGTGATCTATTAAATAGGAAAGGTGAAGACAAAAAAGAAGCTCTGTTACTTTTTTTTATTTATCGGTTAGACTTTGTAAAAGAATCTGAAAAGAAGAGAAAATAGTGGAAGGGAAAAATTCCTAGAAATTTTTACTTTTAAGGAAAGGCTTTTTTGTGGAGTTTTGTTCTTTGAGCTGGATGGTTTGGTCGTTGAAAGCTCCACCAAAATCATCCACCTGAGCTACAAATCTTCCACCATCTCGAGGAAAGGCTTAATATCTGTTGCAATTATGATTGATCATAAGATAGCGACATGCAAGTTAAATGTTATGCATTAAGGAATTTAATGAGAAGTATATTCTACATTTTAGTGGATCGAATAATTTAATTTTATTAAATTATAAATATAGCTGATCAATCTAATCAGGCGAACTGGTGAAGTTAGTATATACTACTAGATTGACTCAAATATTGATTAGATCTATTTAAAATACAGATACAAACAGAGATAGTTGAACCAGTTGCTTCACCACACTAGCCAACTGTTTTATGCAAATATAAAGCTTCAATAGTCATAGAGATTAAGCATAGTTTAGATGGTGGTTGGAGGTAGTCAACAGGAAACCCTGGACCCGGGTTTCGTGCTACTTGGCACTCGTCAGCAAGGTGTACCTGTAATCTTGAGGGAACTGGTGCTCCCTGGCCGATTCGATCTCGTGTCACCCAGCTTCACAGTCAGAGACGTTACCACTGAGCTATCCGAGCTGTGAAGCTGGGTGACACGAGATCGAATCGGCCAGGGAGCACCAGTTCCCTCAAGATTACAGGTACACCTTGCTGACGAGTGCCAAGTAGCACGAAACCCGGGTGCAGGGATTCCTGTTGACTACCTCCAACCACCATCCAAATCTCAATACATTGTGCCCGCAGTGTCGAGTCACCTAGACTGGTGGCCACATTGCAACATGATCGATAGCATTCGATCTGCACTAATAAGGACTAGATAAGCATGACATTGATCACCAGCAAGTGATCAATCAATTGAGATTAAGCATAGTTTTAACCAAGGAATTTTATTCGTGAAAACTAAGCAATTTAATTTTGACATCGAGAAATTAACATTTTCTTCGGAAATGAAATGAAATACTTCCCATAATATGAGAAGACAATAAACACAGATGAACCTTAGCACTTAAGAGTCAACATGGGATATTTGTTGCATATGACGTTTATTTGATATTTTAAAAGAGATCTAAGATTTTACATTATGTGAATGATTGGTAAAGACACATTTATATATGAGAAATTAAAGGAATTTATCAACGAATTACTACATATATGTAGGGGCTTGAACCATCCTGTTTTTTGATATTAAGGACTGGACTTCATTATTCTATTGGTATACTTTTATCCTCAGCAAATTGCCTCATTATTCCCATTTAGTCAAAAACGGGTATAAAAAAACCACTACTAATACATTTATATTTGTAAAATACTTTATTAGCGAACTTGAATTCACAGCTCAGTGTATAACGCGTCGGAGTTCAGAGAGAAATGTATTGGGTTCAAATCACAGCATAAACGTCAAATTAGTATCCACGTATATCAAGCTGAAGGGTCCCAAATAGGACAAAACGAACATTTCGTAATTTACTGACGTGGATTACAGAAGTCATCGGTTGGTATAAAGTATGTAAAAGGAATTGTTTCGAAGAATAAATATTAGAAAAAAAAATACAAAATAGCTCTGATTACTTTTATTCTTAAAATCACATCTTCTAAACGGACACGTAACATTTCCGGTTGTAGGAAATCTGACATAACATTATTGTACACATAACTTGGGAATAAATGATAACAGATGCCAGGTTGTACACTAGGAATAATTAAAGGAAGATGCAGAAAGAAAAATAGTTCTTTAGACAATTAATAATATACCGAACATTTTAAGTAAATACATGAGTAACCCTACCACCATTCGTAAATATGATCATACGATTGGAGACATTCACTAATGAATGTTGTAAATCCTGATTCCGTGTGTGCTAAAAATAACTACAGTATTCCGAAGAAATGGTGGAAAATAAAGTGATCATTATTCACGACTACATTGTATTTTAGTTTTTTACGATCTGTAAGTTAAATATAACAATAGAAAGGATAGATAGCAACTAGCAAACTTAAAACCCACTGATATGAGGTGACACAAGGAAAAGCATTCTTCCATGATGTGGGGAACGGGGAAGTGAAAACTGCCTGATCACTCCTAGCACTACCCAAGATCCTTTTCGTCAAGATGGAACGATAGTTAATTTAAGGGAAATAATTAGTTCGAGTACAAAAGTTAGATCAACTGAGTCAATGAGTGACACTTGCACGTTAATAGCTAAGCTGAAGGTTGAGAGTAAAAACAGATTTATGATGACAAAACCACAATATTCTAGACACTAATAAAAATATAGATATTTAATGATTATTATCAAGATTTGACTTGATAATTTCAAATAGATTGATCATTGTGTAGATTGTTAATAATGGAAATAATGTTTTTAACGTTTTAATAAATAGAAAATGGCATTACTTAAATTTGTGCTAAATTCGTTTATTTATTTTACTCTTTGAAGAAGTGGTTTACACCAAGTAATAAAACGTCAGAAATTTAATTTTCTACTCATTGGAACTTCACAAACACATTATGTGTATTGTTAGACATGATCCGTTATTTATCTAAACTCTGTGGGAAAAATGTAGCCATCATTGTTTGGGTTATTTTTAAGTAGGTTAAGTGACATACTTAGAAATCAATGAGTCCAGACAGACAGACCAAATAATCTATTATCTCGATTTTTTTCTTGTGGCTTTTGTTATTTGGTTTCATCTATATTGTTTCAAAACACTGGAACTCAAAATAGAGTATGACCAACCAATCATTGATAAATTTGAGTAAACACTATGAATAAAATAAGTAAACTAATTAAAAAAAAACTGAAAAACGTGTACACGTGAATCGGCATAATATTAATGTTGAGAAAGACACAATATTATGTAAGTTAGAAAGGATCAATAGGCGCCAATTCAAAGATATTGAATCAAAAAATAAGTTCATTGATTATAGGAAAGGTACATGTTCGGTGTAGAATTCTTAGTTTAATTTCATTACATGAACAGAATCACTGGTTGGATAGCTTAAGTGGTCTGAAATCAACCGGAGCGATAAATAGATATTTGATCTCTATCCATGTAAATTTAACAGTTGCAGTCATGATAACAAGTAACTTTGCAACTTTTTACTTAGAACATGAAACCGATGAACATCATATACACAATTATTTTACTAACAACATATATATTATAGTTGGTAATTGACAACTGAATAATTAGACAACCGAGATGATGTTAAAATGAAAAATTCTGCATGAATGAATTAAATATTAGTGCAAAATAACCTGAAATGACTTAATTCGTAGAAATAAACAACTGAATCAGTATATCAAATTCATTAATAAATCATAGTTAAAATATTTTTAGGTCAAATAATTTTTACTCCTGCAGTATAGTATACGATGTGATGAAAACTTATCACGCTAATAAGTCAATTGCTTTATCTGTAAACTATATTTAAAAAGTACAATTAACAAATTACGATACTTAGAAACGGTTTTAGAATTGAACGAATACTTTTAAGTGATAAATAATCACAGTGATGCAGTAGTGTTCAGATACAGATAGGTAATTACATGTATCAACAAGGTACGAATATTGCTAAATGTTCGTGGTATCGATGGTAGGCTGAAGTAAGGTGTAGAAATCTCAGAACTCAGATGGAATCAGCTGAAGTCTATTTCACATGGAATTCAAAATCAAGAAGTGAGAGGGCTTACATACAAAAACTAAAGAGAATATTAAAGCATTTGGGTGACTTTGTAGTAAGTGGATTGGTTAATATTTCGTGTATTACTGCTGCTGACCTACATAAACCGTTTTTGATCGTTTGTATTGCAGTATAGTTCATGGTTTCGAATAAAAACCTATTAAATTTTAAATCATAATCATTAGCTGAAAGTCGAGTAGATAGTTTCTCTAGCGAACATTCATAATGAACATTCGCGTTAACTTAAAGCTTAAAATATCATTGTACACCACGGATTTGAAATCATTACAGAAAGACAACACTAAACTGATACTCAAAATGGTCAGTTCAGAATGGTGGAACGTGAATCAGTAACATTCTAAAGTGAATGAAGCAAATCTTTAATTATCATCTTCAAAAATGCATGAAGCAATGTCTTCAGGTAATATTACTGTCGAGACTGAAAGAAAGAATATAGTCAAGATGCATGACTTGGAAATGTAAAATTTATTACAACCCGCTATTTGATTTTAGCAATCGATAGACAAATTATACACCTTTAATACATGCAAAATCTGGCAATATCTTGGAAAATAAATGTTAACATCCTTTCAGATTTAGGTTTTCAGATAGCAAGTATGGTATTCAAAGGAACTAACAACCGTTAAATGTTTTTGAAGCTTTGATATTTAGTCAAAAAGCATTTCATTTTTGAACTAGTTACACTACATTCGTAATAAACTTATGAGAAAATTATGAACCATAGAGTATGAGTGAAGAGCAGTTTTCTTATTGTATATTGCCTTCATGACCTAGAATTGTGTTAGAATATTTAGCAAAATCAACTACAACTCTCTGACTTAGCCATTGAAATTATAATTGATTATTGAGAAGCTAAATAAATACCATTTTATTTAAAATAATTATATTATACCTTATCACTATGGGAACTTGATTTATGATTGACGTATTCTACCACCCTAGTATTTATTACTTTGATATTGCAAATTAATTTAGCATAATATAATAAAAAGAACATGATCAAGATTTAAATTTCCTTGTTTGAGATAAAATTTGCCGGAAAGACAGAATACGAAGTCATTTTAAATTAAGAAACCTTACCGGCCAGCTCTTCCAGAACGCTGAGCTGCATTGGCTTTGCTAACAAGGATCGCAGTTAAAGTTGATGTGTTCTGTCTCGGATCATAATCTGTCACTTTGATACGACCGCAATCAATCACATAAACTACGTCTTGAATGGTTATGCTACAGAGAAAGAAAGGTATTTAGTTTCACAAAGCAGATCACTCAAATTCTCCAAACAAAAGCAAAACGTATTACATTTTTACATAACAAGTTAGCCAAAATCACGTTAGAAATAGACAGTTAGTAGGTAGCAGATGTGCATCATATTTTTAGTATGTTTTCATTGTTATCGGTTGATCCAGGTTTACATGCAGCCTTACACTGAACTTGTGAACCCATTAACAATCGGTAGAGAAAATGACAGAATCTAATAAGTCTTACATGTAATTTAAAAAAAAGTAAATTATAAATCGGTACGCTAAGAGATTCTCTTGTCCGTTTATAAATTATTACAAATTCTCAACTGACATTGTAGTTTGTTATAGCATTGAATCTATCCTGGTAGTCTTTAATTCATTTTAAGACCTACCGTGGTGTAATAACTTCTTGTCATTTTATATTATTTTTTTCCATTATTTATTTCTAATTATCACGTTATATTTATTGAACTCTTATCTAATTAACCCCCCCCTTTTGACCTCTGACCTGTTCTAGCATATATATATAGTTATTATTGTAATCCAGTTATTTACACTCATTTATGTCAATTGTTTCACACTATCTCCATGTAAAAATTCTATCATATTTGGTTGTAAGCAGCTGACGAGAAACCTCGAAATAATATGAATTCATACTATTCTGCATCAATGTTTGTTCTTGCTCTGTTCTAATTAACCTTTATTGGTCTTCATATAAAAATGCCTCAATATGTAGATCTACGTGTGGTCAGGTTGATCTAAATGACTCAAATACATCACATTTTTTTAGATCAACTGTCTTCTTGCTACGCTATCAGAGAAACGATATTTAACATACTAAATTTCATGTTCTGAAATCAGTGATCAACTGGTACGTGAAGTAATGGTGGAATATTCAAAACCACATCTAGGCATGAGTGTAGCATAATACAGGAAAGCGGTCGATGAAAATATGATGCGGACTAAAGAACTAAAATGAGCTGTAATGATAAACGAATTAAGTGTTTTTCATCCCGCATCGACATGATTCAGTGAGAAATGGTCACAAAATGTTTTACTCATACAAAGTGAGCACTCCAATGAAGAAAAACAGGATGACAGTTGCAGCTGTATCGTTAGATATAACAAGATATGGTACCATCATTTACAAAAGTGATAAAACGTTAGTTCCATCTCAGTGATGGTATTAGACAGATAAGAAAACTCAATAGTTAGTACTGAACAAATGTATTTAATCCTAATTTCTCTTTGAATCATTCAAATCTCAATGCAACTACTTTCTTCCCATTTTATTTCATGTTGGGCTTTTTATCAGATTTTTGTTATACCTGCTCTTGTGGAGCTAGGTATATAGGTCGTTCGATACGTACTTTATCCAAAAGAATTCAAGAACATTGTCCGGCGTGGCTAAAAAGAGGAGGCAGCGGCTCAATAAGAAGTTCTATAATCGAACACCTTGTGAATACAGGTCACTCAATCAAGACAGACTCTGCGTTCAAAATCATCTACAAGGTAAGTAGAAGCCTTCCTAAGACAATTAGACTACATCTTCTTTGCATTGCCGAGGCAATAGCCATACATTTTGAAAAACCAGAATTATGTGTACAAAAGAGACTGGTACAACCTCTTCTTTTACCATGGTCTTAATGTATTAAAATCTTTTCTCTTTCTCATTACTCTTGTTCTTTTACAGCCACCTGCTTCACCTTCCATCTTCCCTTCAAATCTTGTACCCCCAACCAGTTTGTTTTTATTTCAACGATCATTCCGATTACATTTCATCTCTGTTTCAACATTTTATGTTATTTTATCATGCTGAGCTACTCTTACCCGATGAATATCTAAGCCATTAACTATCAAACTTTCCTTGTTTTTTAAAAAAATTTTCTAATATCTTTGTTTATTTAACCTCACTGTCACCATGTATATCATAAGTTTATTATCAGTATTATTATCACCCTGTAAAAATAAGTATATATATTTGCGATTGTACAGCTTTGAAAATGAATTCGCCGAAAAGAGAACTCTTCGCTGAACTAATCTTATACGTCAATTTCACAGCTTGTCATTGGTATAATAGATGGGACTGATGTAAAAGATTGTAGTCATTTGTTGGAATATATGTCATAAAATTTAACCTTATTTATTTTCATACATGTATCGTAATTTACTTATTACTGTGCGATTTTATCAATAGCAAATATTTTCGATCTTTTGAAAAAAAACACATAAACAGATGGATAAACAGCCGTACATTGAAATAAAGTGTAGTGATAAATCTTCACTGACCTCGTTTCAGCGATATTAGTTGCTATAATAACTTTTCTTTGATCTTTTGGTGACGGTTCGAACAGTGAGCGATCTCTAGACGTGGGAATTCTTGAGTGTAATGGATAAATTCTAACACTTCCATAACGATCATCATATCGTCTTGGATTTAATTCACGTAAACTTCTGATTACATCTTTTATGTCCTAATAAGCGACAAACATAATCAAAGAAGTAAACAGTGGAACTTTAAGTTGAAAAAAGATGCACACAAGAAATTAATAGAAATAAAATGGTTTGATATCTATTAATGGTAATTTGCCCCCGAATGCCCTGGTATGGCCGAGAGTGGGGTGGGCCTGTTCTCGCTCTCGAAATCCTGTCACACAGCCATGAGCATACAGCCTCTGCCAGGGAAGTCCTACTCATTGCCTTCTCGTGGCGGGGATGTTGTTTACGAAAATGAGAGGACGAACAGAGAATGTCCGGCGCTTTAACCGGATTCCAAACCAATGGTGCACATGGACTCCAGTATCCCGCGGGAACAAATGGTGTATGAACCAATCGTTGGTCACCGGCTACCATGGGACTGCATCTCCTCACGATGCTCCACTGCCTTGTGGATCAGACCTTTAGGTCAAAGGCTCGGGGTGTGGCCCCCTAAGAAAACCATCTGTTTTGGTTTGGGCACCCGGGCAGTATCACAGCCCACACACACAAATATGGTGTGGCGCATCTATATTTGGTACCCTTTTGTACCAATATTTATGTGTTGAAATAAAATAAAATGGTAATTTTAATATAATCCTGTCGAACTAGAACCATATTGTATAATGCCACTTACTTTGAAGCTAAATTTGTTCGTTTTTAAGTGAATTCATTTAATAACTTTACAGTATTGAAAACTCAGAAAAACAATCAACATAAATATTTTTAAAATACAATACTACTGTAGTGAACGAACATTTCTTGTTCGATGAGTAATCACGCGGTGGTTTAGTAGAATGTGAAAATCATGCATTAAGTACATTATTTGTACATCTGCTCTCAGGCAGTCCACTTCTGATCGCTGGTACATACTACTTGTATCTGTCAACTTAGTAGCATACACTACACTACTAAAGTTCAAGATGTTTTTGAATATCTATTTGAGTATGAAAATAGTTCATTAGTTGGATTTATTGACACAAACAAATTTTGAGGGTGTTATAATCTCTTTTTCTTACGGTTATAACCCAGCTATTCCTATTCCTTAGTATTCTTGGACACCAGATCACTCGACAAGTCCCCAAATCAGAAAACGGTTGAACAGGAAAGAGATTATATTCCAAATAACAAAGTTAGATGGAAGCAAGAAGCAAGTAAGAACCACAATAGGGAAAACGTCAATATATTCATAGTTTTTACATGAGAAGATTCTAGAGTATTCTCCAACTATCGACTAGTGCTGATTGGATAAGAATTAGTCAATCAGCGTGCACCAAAGCAGTCGTGCAATGAGCATGCTTTAATCCAGTCTATGTCCCGCTAACAGAGGGACACATTTAAAACTTAAGATTCATGATCTTTTTGTACTAACTTTAAAAATTTCCAGCATTTCAATTTAATTATATAAGACATATTTCACGTAAACTGAGCTTCAAGTTGATTACTGATCAGGGTTAGACGCTGTATAGAGTAAAAATATCAAAAAATTTACAATCACTCGTTGCACAACGACACCAACAAAAAGATCACTTAATCTACAATCAAGTTATTTCATCACAGTTAGCCAACCAAGGAAGTTATCAACAATCATGAATAAACGATGTAAGATAACATAGCATCGCATCTAAAACATGGAAAAATTAGTTGTAACGAAATACTGAATGGTACATACATATCAATCTTTATAGTGAAATCAAACACCACCACAAAGATGATGACTTACGACAAGACCTGGAACAAAAACAAGTATTGCACCCGATTGTGTATTCTGTAAAATATGCTCAACTGAATGTGCAATAAGATCGGTTTGAGGATAGGTATCTTCTCCAACACTACGTAAAATTTCTATTGCATTGGAAGATAATCTGAATGTTCAAAGTTAAAAATTTTATTGGAGACTTTTAATAAATAATACCAAGATGCACGGTTAAGCTGGTAACTATTATATGCAAACGTTAAACTGTATTTGATAAATATTAATAATAATGTACATAATAATTGCAAAATGTTAATTTTCAGAAATTTATTGCTTCTTTATTCTTATGACAAAATATATAGAAATATGTATTGGGAAATTGAAGTTAAATAATCATCTACATTTCCCTGTACTTTCAGACATCAGAAGAACAATGATTTTTTCCAACACACCAACATATAAGTGGTTTTCATCTAGATATCTAGTTAGCGTAATTCAGAAAATGGAGGGTACTAACTTAATAGAAACTTATAAATTCTGTATTGTAAAGATTAAAAATGTAGATAGATAAATGAAAATTGCAAAATTGATTGATCTCAGAAAAAACTGATGAAAATTTCTGCACTTTGTTTGAGAGAATTCAAATTTCACTTTTGGTCAAGGAGTATGTTTCAGTTGACTAAAGGAAAGAAGGCTTATACAACTGTAAAGCTGAATTATGGTTAGTATATAAATTTGAGAAAAATATAGTTCCCTTAATCAAAATATAACACCACTGATCGTACTAGTACTAAGTAACCTTATATTTAGTTCGTTACAGAAACAGAAGCATAAAAAGTCTGAATTTTTCCTACAAAAAAGGAACATGATTTCAACATAGTTTTATTTGTGCTACTGCAAGATTTAAACGATGAATTCAACTGATGATCCTATTACTTTAGAAATAAGCATATGCATATTATAAAATCTAATAACGATGATAATAAAAACGCTAATCATGGCGGATGTAGATAGGTCGATATGATTTAGAATCTAATAGATAGATTGAGCACTATTCATTAATTGCAGTATAGAATATACTTACGTTTATTACAAATTGGGAATATTTCACGGTAACCCTGAAAATATACCTCATAAATCTCTAGATAGAATGCACTAGAAACGTTTTGCTCTTACTACTGACTAATTTCTACCAACCAGGTTTGGGGTGCTAAGATATATATCAGAGTGTGATCTTTTGTTGTCAAAACGTGTGAACTAGGTTTGGGCTCTTAATGGAGCACTAGGTTCCTTCAAGTATGTAGATACTCCCTATTGGCAAGTACAAACAATTATACAGAATATTCTACTGAACTCTTCCAACCACTAGACAATTGAATAACGTTTTTAGCTACCATAAAAATGTAAGACAAAACGTTCAGTTTATGAACATGTACGATGTCATTGAGTGGAAAATTTCCTTGAATTTATTGTATAATCAAACTGTACAGTTACAAAAAACGTTACCATGGACTTAAAATTACAGAAAACAATAGAAAAAAGTCACATGAGATCAATAAACCCATAAAAGTATAGGTAAGAATTAAAAATAAGGCAGATATATTGAAAAAGAGAGAAATAAAAATGCTTAACAAAATTAAGGCATCCGAATGTTTAATGTTGCTAGTGCCTCGTCAGTTATCAGTGTATATTTCATAGTACATTTGACGATGAATAAGAATAAAACAAGTGTTTATAAACAAATGATACAGTTACCACTACTAAAAATGATGCTACATCTAACCTACCTCCATCTAATAACAATTAAATACAAATTTTTGTAAGCGGTTTGCAAACAAATTCCATCATTGATTAATTAGTGAAATCACCCAACAAAGTAGCGAAAATAATTAAACTCATAATGGTCGATTATACCGAATGGTTTGACGAATACAAAACATGTAGTCATCATTAACAAAATTTGGTTTAATACTTTTGAAGCTGAGAATTATATGGAATGTTGTTTAAAAAATAAATGATGTATTAGTAATATCCAAGTTAGCAGAAAATTAAACTTCCCGCACATCACACACAAATGTAAACCTTCTTCTTTTTCAGAGTAGATAAATAAACGAATTACATTAACACATGATTAAATAGTTAAAAGGAACAAAGAAAAATATATAGCAGAGGTAGAAAGTACAAGTATAGGTATATTAGTGATAACAATAAAAAAAGGCTTGAAACACAGCTTCATAATAAAAAGCAAACGATGTGAAAAAAACATACTGACATAACAAAATATAAATTTGTGTAAAAAAAGTACTTAAATAATTGGAGAGTAAAGAATATACTTGAAGAAGAGGGTGAAGAATTTGATATGTTAGAAATAAAAATGAAATATCTATTGCACTTCAGGTTGTCATATTTGGTTATACAGTCAGTCAGTGAGTAACAACGTAGAACTTCGTACATACATACATCAGTTCGAGTTGCTATACGACATTAGCAAATAAATACAATCGTCGATTCAAATCCCATAGTGGTAAAGGTAATAAAAGTATAAGCAGTGACTGGAAAGATTAGGATTTGAAAATGTCATTCAAGGAGTATAATCCAGTGAAATAAATTTGGAAAGAGAAAAAAGAAAGGGACATGAAGAATTCAGAAAACTAGAATGTCTTGGTTTGGCCGTCCCTAAATTTCTTCCAAACTACTCCTATACAACAAAACATCGCACGTCGGGGCAGTTGGTGGTTGGGCTTACGTAACACATGTCCCAGCCATCTCAACTGATGAAGTTTCACTACTTCATCAATGGATTTGCCATCCTCACCTAATACTCGTTTCCTAACAACTACATTAGTTACTCGATAGTCCCAGGATATACGGGCAATGCTTCGAAGACCCCTATGATCGAATACTAGCAACCTACGAATATCCTCTAATCTTACCGGCCATGTTTCACTGCCATAAAGAAGAACGGAACGAATTGCTGCGCAGTAAACCCGTCCTTTGGTTGGTAGACGGATATTTTACCTACACCATAAGTCACGCAAGTTGCCAAAATGGACAGGAAAAGAGCGAAATAAACGGTTAGTAGGAAACCTATCTTCCTGAAGCTACGATTTGGCGAAGATATGGCTACAGATGTACTAAGAAATAGAGTGACTAAAGCGAAGAGGACTTTTATTGCAGCCAAAGTCTGTCTATCGTTTTTTAGCCCACTTATGGTGATTGATAAAGGATAAGTTACCTGATTTTGCTACATCCATGTGTAGCTACGAATTAAGCTGCTCCTGTGGAGAAAGCCATATTAAATGTACAACCAGATAACTGTGCCAATAAGTTAGTGAACACCCCTCTTCGTGATAGGGAAAGGGTATAGACAAAACAACACACGGATGTATTCTGTCACACTTGATCGATAGCGATCATGTAGTAGATAGAAATAGGTCATTTAAAGCAATTTATTGTATAAGTACTAGCTTTCCTTATAGGGTTCAATCTCGTCTATTACGTATATCAGAAGCTACATTGATTCAACCTAAAAATCTGTCTGGGATGCTAGATCTCCAGAAATCACTTGGTAAACGCCTTATTTTTGTGATTTTATTTTGAAAATCTGAATTTCTCATTTTCGTGCCAAAGACGACCACTTTCGCACCTAGTTTGCATTTCTCATTCGGAGAGACCTTAAATGTCATTGATTCGTTTCCGCTTTTTAACGTGCTATTTATGACGTTTTCCAAGGACATGTTTGTATTGTATATACGCATCATTTTGTGTGCGTGATCGTTGATGCTTACGAGTTGCTTGTGGAATATACCTTTCGCTCGGTCGAATTTAGTCTTCTCTCTGTAGTCGACAGGGATGGAGAACAGTAGAATAGCTAGCTTGTCCTGTTGTGTTGCTGACTTTCTTTCCGTTCGCCGGTTTGAGTCGGATAGTCAGCTACAACACAGGAACAGGCACATATATGCATCAGTCCAGGTTGCCACACTTCATTAGCACAACAAGATGAACACCAGATTCATAGAATTAGTTACTTCAATGATAGTAAGATATAAAAGAAAGATTGAATATAAGGATGTAGTACAGAAATAAAGAATTAGTTGGTAGAAAGAAAGATATAGAGCAATTTTAATATCATAGTTTAAGGGAAGACAAAGAGTGAATACACCGACGCCATTGTGATTTATTCTGAGCCACGTCACCCAGTCTCCAATCATTGGCTACGATAGTCGCGCGGAACCCAACCAAGTAGTCTGCATCTACCAACAAGGCTCAGAACAGAAGTTAATGATTTCAAGGACTGATGACACGTTTTGGTCTACAAGATACCGTAATCTCTTTAAACGTAACAGTTATAACAGATGTCAAAGACAACTACATTATTAGAAACTTTAAAAGCACCGAAATCCAGTCGATCTAATTTTTTTCGAAACGTTTACGAAATAATGAATCTTTAAGGATCGAGAGCTGTTGACACAAACTCCTAAGGACTCTCTTTTGATTTCCGATAGTACTTCAAATGATATTAGTCAGCGAGTAAAATTATCTTTAAATGGAACGATTCTTGGCAAACCACATATTAAATATAAGCTTCCTGCCTATTATTTGATCTAAATCTTTCATGTATACATTATAACTTTAATTTTATATCTAATTCTGAATAAATATAAATTCACTACAAACGGTGTTCTTAGTTTTTTGTATCATTTCCCTTCGTACGGATATCGTGGAACATATTTTAAACCATCATATTAAATAAAATTTTCCGTTAGTTATATAAAAGAGCCCAAACCAAACCTTTATATCCTGTTAAACAACTTTTGATGCAAAACTGGAATTTGATATTGTAACTATTTGAAGGGTGAAATTCACAGCCGTAAACAGTATCTAGGATTAATAAAACTCGACTAATTGACCATATTTTAATTTAATTCACAGGAAATCTGATACAACTGGGTACCAAAAATAGTATAAACCACAAAAAATACTTGGATATAGACTGGAATATCATTCAGGCGCTCAAACGAAAGCAGATTGCTTCCTTAGGGGGTTCATTTATCGAATCTTAGGCCTAAAGGTCTATTCCATGACGAAAAGGAGCAATATTAGGAAACGATGTTCCATGGTACCCTGTGACCATAAATATGTTCATATGCCGTTCGTATCGTCAGGATCCTAGAGGCCTTGTACACCAATAATTTGGAACTAGGGCTTTTTAACTTCTCTTGGCACAACCTGAGTATCCACCCTCGCAGTTTGAGCTCCTGAAGTTTGCTTTTTTTCACTTGTGTTAACAACACACACACCGCATGGAATTAATGAGAAAAACTTTCCCTGACAAGGACTGTGAATGTGTGGGAATATGAGAGAACTTGAAGAGGAGAAAATAACCCTCTCCATCACCAGACGCACCAGGGAATTCGGGGAAAACGGGCACACTTTTTTTCAAAAAAGCAGTATTTTCATATCGCGAAAAATTATCGAGGAAAAAAGCCAATGAAAGATATTTTTCTTTCTAAAAACTTTAACATACCCTTTTAATGAATGCAACCACTTATTGAATTCAGGGCTTTTTCCATAAGATAATATACGAGCTTCTTTTTTTGAAAGATTAGATTTTAAAAGACGCTGTTTTAATGTACGTGATTGATCACGGCATAAAGCGGTTATAGCATTATTTGGCAACCAAAATCTAAGAGAAATAATAAATTCATAAAAAGTTTCAATCCAATTTTTTCGCTTGATATAATTGAAACTCAATTGATACTAAATGATAAAGAATGTAGAAACTAAGTTAATAATCAATAGAAAAACTTACAGATGTAAACTAAAAATAAATAGATCAAACATATCACTATAGTATATAGGAAGCAACTGTGTGGCCATGTGAGAGCATTTCGAGAGGGAGAGCGGACTCTCCCCACTCTCGGACGTACCAGGGCATTTACGAAAATGAGAGGACGAAAAACGAATATCCGGCGCTTTAACCGGATTCCAAACCAATGGTGTACATGGGCTCCAGTATCCTGTGGGAAAAAATGGCGTGTGAACCAATTGTTGGTCACCGGCTACCATGGGACTGCATCTCCTTACGATGCTCCACTGCCTTGTGGATCAGACCCTCAGGTCGAAGGCTCCGGGTGTGGCCCCCTAAGAAAATCACCTGCTTCGGTTAGGGCACCCGGGCAGTATCACAGCCCTCACATATATCGAATGAGATTTGTGTCGCGCATATGTATTTGATGCCTCTTTGTACCAGTATCTATGTGTTGAAATAAATAAATAAATAGGAAGCAACTAAACGTAATATCAAGATGTTTTAGTTACATAAAAAAAATGAGCTATAACCTACACTGTCAGTTTTAATGGTCACTCAAGAATTCATTAAAAGTTAAATAATAGGCAAATTTTCATTTTGAAGCCTAACTGGTGAAATTCCTCACTATCAAAACGATATCAGTTAGGTTTTCTACACTTGAAATATAAGTAATAACGAGTTACAGAACATATTTTAATTAATCATAAAAATAAAAAGGGGAAACTGAAAAGTCACTTTCTTTCAGTGTGCGGGGTGGATTAGTTATCAAATTTCAGAAACGAAACTGAATACCGCTGGAACCAATGAAAATATAAGCTTTATGAAATAGTAGGAAAAAGAGCATAAAATGAGATTAATGTGTGACAATCTGTATTCAAACGAGTATTCATTGATTAATGAAATTATCTAGTATGAGACAATATTTAAGCAGAATAATACACGTAAGAATAACACTACAATCGCAATCCTTATAACACGACTAGGAATTATACATCGATGTTACATTAATACTTAAGAAACATTACAAATAAATATTTATAGTAACTGAAGAGTGCGATTTACCGGGTGGTTATTGATTATAATATTATTACACGAAGTCAGCTTACTTAGTTTCTCTCAAAACATCTTCTAAATAATATGTCTTCACTGGGAAGGTTCTACCGGGAATTTCAAATTTAGGACAATTGTCTAAAAGTAATAAAAAAATTAAATCAAAGGTATTCGTCAGATTCAGAACAGATTTCAAAGTTAAGGTTCTAAATGTTCAGAGAAATAATCATATACTGATATGTAGTAATAGACATTTAAGAATGGTAACTATTAACCACTTACGTAATACGAAATCATGATTAAACGTAAGCTTGTTGGAAATCCCAAGTGTAGTCATTTACAGTTACGGTGAATTTATTGTATACTATAAATTTTAGTCAAGAAACAACAAAAATTGCGATAGTATGACAAGAACTGAACAATAGGGTGGAAACCTTGTCCTACCTAAAAAATCTCAAGTCGCTGACTGGTTGAAAGTTGAAATCCACCACCAAATACGAATACTGAGTATTTCTGAAACCACGTATATCATTCAAACTGGATCCCTTCGACATTCTCACTGGAACTGAGGCAACACTGATCGATTGGATCACCATTGACAGTCGGTTATTGCTGTTAGATTAGAATGTCTCATCAAATTGAGAAATCATTGTGAGAAACGATGTCTTTTCATTATCTCCACCTATGCTCCGAAAGATTGCAGCCTGGATACAACCAAGAATGAGTTTTTCCGCCAGTTAACTGTTCTTCTCCAGAAAATGAGTCCGACAGATATTTTAGTACTGGCCGGAAACTTGAATGATCAGGTCGGGCGTCTAGGCATAGAAGAGAGTCATTTAGGTGGCCGATGGGGACTTGTTGGTCACAGGTTAGATAACGAGGACCATTTACTGCAAATGTATGCAGACCACGACCTGTTTTTGGCTAGCATTAACTACCGACACAGTCATCGCCGATGTGCTACCCAGTGTCCTTTATTTGTATTTCAAGCCTCGACTCAGATTGATCACATCGCGATCAGCTACCGCTGGCGTGGTTGTGTACACGACTGCCGCTCCTCTTGGAGTACCTATCTGGACTCTGAACATGCCCTCGTTTGCGCTAATCTTGCCTTACTTTTCAGTGACCAGGAAACTCATCAATCCAAATGGATCGATGTCAGTAAATTGGTTTCAGCTTATTTAGTAACTAAATAATAAACCGAGCTAGGTTCAAGGCTATCTACCATCCCACCAAAAAGTAAAGATGAGCATTGGTTGTAATTGCATGACGCCATGAAAATGGTGGTAATCCAAAATAAAAGTCTTAAACAATTATTGTCTATTTACAATTACTGGAAATATCAATGGTAAGTTTGCTGTTGTTCGTTATCATGAAGGAGTAACAAACAGTTTTTCGAAGAAATTTGACAATCTTTAAGTGGCCGGAAGTTAAACGTCTTAAAATTAATTGAGGTAGATTAATATTAATTGAGAATTTCTGTTTAAACCTGAGATTTAATGAGATCTCAAGTTGTTTATAACACATGATAACATCAAAATGAATGTTAGACATATGAAGAGTTCTTTCTGACTGAATAGCCAAACAAAACTAATATTGAAAAAATATTAACTGAAACCAATTACCTACTTTCTATAATTAAGTAGATGATTTGAAAATACAAAATAGATGTCACACAGAGTTTCGGCCGTTGGTTACGATAGTCACGCGTACCACAACCAAGTAGTCTGCATCTACCAACATGGCCAAGACTAGAAGTTAGTGACTTCAGGCACTGATGACACCTTTTGGTTTAGCCGCCCTTCACTTTCTTCCAACCATCCCCAAAACTAGTCAACATTTAGCGCCGTGGTAATCGGTGTTCACGTATACGGAACAGGTGGCCCAACCAACTCAGTCGATGAAGATTCACAACCTCATCAACTGATTTACCATCATTCCCTAATACACTGCGTCTAACCTCACTACTACTTACCCGGTCATCCCAGCAAATGCCAGCAATATTTCTAAGGCATCTGTGGTCAAATACTAGTAGCTTGCAAATATCTTCAACTCTTAATGGCCACGTTTTGCAGCCGTAAAGTAGAACAAAACGAACTGCCGCGCAGTATAATTGCATGACGCCATGAAAATGGTGAGTAAAGTCGCTTGCAGCTTCGCGAAACTTCCGCCTATAAGCACTGGGTTTCTTCTGGTTCCTTACAACTCATTGAAGCTCGTCGGTCTACTCCGGGTGACCGTGAGTTTGATCACAAACAAAGGCTGTTACGTAATGAAATCAGGAGAAGCTTGCGTAAGGACCGAGAAACCTGGTATTCGGAGCGTGCTAATGAGCTGGAAGCAGAATCTCTATCTGGTAACTACCGGAAGCTCTTCCAACTCACCCGAGCGACTGGCAGCAAGAAATCTGGTGTGAGCTAAACAATCTGCGGGGATGATGGGATGCCAATCACTAACATCCATCGACGTCTTGGACGATGGGTAGAATTTTTCGAAGGGCAATTCAACTGGCCTGCTGCTCCGGCAACATCGGTCAGACTGTCCTGCCCTCCATAGCCGGTGAAGACTGATCCACCAAATGAGGCGAAAGTCCGCAAGGAACTCCAACTCTTGAAGCGTTACAAATCACCTGGCCCAGACGACTTACCTCCGGCTCTTTTTAAAGATGGTGGTGACTTTCTGGCTAAGGAACCGACGACGTTGTTTACAAAGGTTCGGGAGCTAGAGAGTTTACAAACGTTATGAAATGAGTCGATAGTTGTCCCTATCTTTAAAAAGGGTTCACGTCGTTCCTGTAACGACTATTGGGGGATAAGTCTACTTCCGATTGAGTCCAAGCTATTGGCTTCCGTCATACTTCGTAGGTTGTTCAAAACCCGAGAAAGATTGACTCGTGAGGAGCAGGCTGGTTTTCGTTCTGGTCGATGATGTATTGATCATATCTTCACCCTCTGCCAAATGTTAAAACACCGTCATACTTATCACAGGCCAACAATCGTAGTGTTTCTTGACATCAGGGCTGCCTTCGATTCGTTGGACAGGATTGTTCTCTGGGATTGTCTGTTGAAGAAGGGTGTGCCTGAAACGTTTATTAACATCCTAAAAGCCCAATATGCAAACACCTCAGGCAGAGTAAGGGCATACAACCACCTTTCTCCATTGTTCCATCCAAGCAGTGGGGTTAGGCAGGGTTGCCCAATCTCACCATTCCTCTCCAACTTTGCCATCGATGACATTCTGGAAACAGCTCTGATGGATGTAAGTAATGGATGTGTGGATCTGTTGCCTGGAGAAAGACTTCTCGATTTTGAGTATGCGGATGATATTGTCTTACTGTGCGATAATGCCCAAGGCATGCAATCCGCACTTAACCATTTGGCAATCAGTGTCTGTAGGTATGGTATGTGCTTTGCACCTTCGAAGTGCAAAGTACTTCTACAAGACTGGCAGGATTCTAATCCTCTAATCACCCTGGATAGTGAGCAGCTAGAAGTAGTTGACAAGTTCGTGTATCAAGGTAGCTTCATAAGTGCTGGTGATGGTGGCGTGAGTGATGAGATCAATCCACGTATAGTGAAAGAAAGAGCAGCTTATGCCAATCTAGGCCATCTTTGGTGCCTTCGTGATGTTAGTCTGGCTGTAAAAGGTCGGATCTACAACGCGTCGGTGAGAGCAGTTTTGCTCTACGCTTGTGAAACCTGGCCTCTCTCTCTCTCTGTGTCTGATCATTATTGTACCCAATGGATTGCTGACATCCAGTGGTAACACCATGTTAGTAATGCAGAAGTTCGGCATCGTGTGTTCGGGCACAGACGATAATCCAAATGGTGTCACCATCTTGAAACACTGACTTTGGTGGCTTGGACATGTTCTACGAATGTCGTCCCAGAGAATTCCACGTCGTGCATTATTTTCCGACCCTGAGATTGGTTGGAAAAAGCGGAGAGGTGGTCAATGTATGACATGTCGTGGTATGAAAAAAATCTGCAAAAGGCTGGCTTCTGCTGGTCCTTCACGACTCCCTGTCTGGGGTCCGAGAGATGGTGCGACACAGTGGCTAGAGACTATATCAGATATGGCTCAGAATAGGAGCCAGTGGCGATCCTGCTGTAACCTTCTTTTACTTTCTTCAGAAAAAGTGGTTGCTTCTTCCCTAACTGAAAGATCTTTTCTGATTGTACGTTTCTATTTCCCCCATTATTATTATTATTACACTACCTTAAACTAATCTGTTCGTTATTGTTCTTTTTTACGCTCCTTACCTTTTTTCCTTCTCCTCTTCAAATTCTCATTGTTTTGTGAGGAGCATATATATTTGGTGCCCTCTTGTGCCAATATTTATGTGTTCAACTAAATAAATAACTGCAGAGAATTCACCACAAGCTATGAGCAAGCTAACACGGTAACCTGCTAACAAGCAGAAAATGTTACGAACCAATTTAACTTATAACTACGAATCTAAACGAATATAATAGCAAGTTATTTATTTAAATAATGTCCATATTTATCATTTTTTACGATGCACAGCTTAAAAATATACATAAAAACATTTTGAAATATAATGATGAATATTCCATCCACTAACGATTAACATATTTACGTAATTACATCCACCTTATTTATCAAACCTCAAGTGCATACAAACGACAGCTATATTAAGTAACAATAGTGTGTAAATCTTTTAAAACCATTTCGAAAGTGATGGGGATATTGGAGATAAAGCAAAGAAGTTTTATTTATATAGTCAATCCGACTAAACTACGACTCCCTACCATGAAAGCACTTAAATAGATACTTACCAAAATATTCAACGAATTTTTCCGCATTGATTGTTGCCGACATGAGAACTATTCGAAGATCTGGACGAAGAGGAGCAATTCGTTTTAGCATACACAATAGAAAATCACATAAAAATTCTCGTTCATGTACTTCATCAACAATGATATGACTGATATTCTATAACGAAGAGATTCAAAGTATAGCGTAGCGCAAAGTTCATTGTCGAGGTTAATTTCTGTCAAGATTTAAACTAGCATTTTATTAACTCAGTGAATACATGATAAAAATGGGAAGTAAAGTAGCAAAATAAAAACGCTTCTGTGTCTCATAAACTCGTATGGTGTTAGTACTACTACTAAAGTAAACTTCTGATTGAGAAGACAGAGGAAAAATAAAATCTGTGATTAGTTCAGCGGTTGAGACCATAGTAAATTGTTAATGAGTACTGATCGACCTTAAACATCACTTACAAGGTTTTAACTTCTGACAGTAAATAAAATAAACATTAACGTCGATTCTAATGTGAATATTTCATAAATCAGAGCTCGCGGTATATTGAAATTGTAATTGTACAATAAATTTTCTTTGGGGTCCGCTCACTGTACTACTTAATTCACTAGCTGAAACATTTTCGATCTCTTGGCCATAACCTTGAAGGTTCACTCACCTGGTTTATATACAATAAATTTAAATCAACGTGTAGTTCACAGACGTACACTTAATGAGATAAATCCGGTTTTGTTCCTCATCATTGAAGATGATAGATTGGTACGGAAAAATCGTAAATAACTCGAAAAAACGATTAATGTTTAGTTACCTTTAGAAGTGGATCAGAACGAAACCATTGAAGAATAATTCCTGTCGTACAAAACATGATAGATCCATGAGGACGTTGAGGATATCGGCGTTCTAATCGGACCTGATAGCCAACGGAAGATCCTATAGATTGTCCTCTTTCAGTTGCTACACGTTCAGCGACCGAAACAGCACTTATACGCCGAGGTTGTGTTACAATGATACGCGTAACAGACCCATTTCCACCTAAGACCTGATCTTCCAAAACAAACTGTGGAACCTGTGTAGTCTTCCCACAACCTGTTTCACCGCTTATTATAACAACTTGGTTATCTCGAATAGTTGAGACAATATCCTAGAACAAAAGAACACTGAAGTGAATATTATTATATATGAAGGTTATTTATTAATATTTAATATATTGAAAAAAAAGATATTGTTATTGATGTGACGTTTTATTGAGCTTTAAGATGAATATGGTCACACAATTAGTTCGCGGCCGATTATTAAGATATTGACCTGAACAATCCATAAAACTAAATTTCTTCCAAGAAACTATGGTTAACAGATATGAGTACGGAAAACAAGCTTACATTAAATGTGAAGCGGCAACTGTAAATTCGAATTTCCAACTTCAGCATCATACAAACCAAACTTCTGAAGCGGATTTGTTCTACATCTTTAGGGTATATTACCTGTCTTATGTTAGGAATATTTGTTAACATCATTGATTGATTAGTATGTAGTTAGTATCTATAGCATTTTCCACATTAGGTAATAATTGTACTATCCCTAAAAGGATTACAAATTATATTAGAAGTGTACTGTCGTTATTCCTCTTTATAATCCTACATCATAAGGAGAGGTCGGAAAAATATATTGCATGTGCGAGGTACTAGAATCCCACTCATCAAACTGTACAAATATGATTAAATAAACTAAATACCCACTTCTTTGAATTGGTATGCTGGGAGTTCACACCTGGATTTTGAAATTTTCATGTAGGCAGCAGAATTCATGCAGTTCCGCATTGAAAGACAGAGCTCATGATCGATGTCTGGATTTCGAGCCAAGCTTTCTTTTGTTAATAACATTTGATCAGGATCAGAGCATGGACCCACTGAGACATCAAAGCAATCTCGAATCTCTCCAAATAATTCTTCTGCTTCGTCCTCTTCAGGAGTTTGTTTTGAAGTACTGAGAGTTGGGAGTTTACACATGGATGAAATATGTTCATTACTAGTTTTGGGGAGTTCAGGAACTGGCTCCACAAATTCTTGTATAACTGACTGAATTTTCGGAAGATTCAGGCCGACAAGAGGCATAGGAGCAAACTATTTAAATCAGGAATTTATAAACAGAGAGAAAATCTAGGCAAATATAAATACAGATTTTCAGGTTTAAACAGGCTAGAAATTATCATTTAATGAAAATGACCCAACCCGACTAAACTGAGCATTGTAAGGAAAAATCAAACAATTATATGCTAATTAGACACATCTCAGAAACGTGAATGATTAAAGAGTATAGAGGAACAGGTATGACTGTGATGTAATCCAATATTTGATCCTTATTCTTAAGTCTTGAAGTGAGAAATGTGAAATTCGTCTACTATTATGATCCATATTAACTTTCTCCAACAAGAATGGTGAGTTAGATTTCCGATTGTGGAATCCAAACATCAACAGTATAATGCTCATTCAAAGTAAGACAATCATTGAAACAATAGTAGCATTAACTGCTTTTTAACAGAGTGGTAAGAAAATATTCAGTCTCTTTTCATATTACTATTAACATTCTATTCTGAATAACCTTATAGGCATTGAACAAAATAAGTTATTTAGTAAGTAGAAATAGAATAAATTCGAGAATCTAGTACAGATATGATTTACATGTTGTCAGTAATAAATTATTTTTGCCTTATTGCTCGGAAACGCATCTCGGAGGGTTTAGAGGATAACGAAGAGCAAAGATGTTGCAGTATTCCACTATTTTGTTTTACTTCACAATGACGAAACGTGGACTTTCAAAGTAAGGGATATAAGTAAGTTCATGTTATTTGATCATAGTTGTCTTTGAAGCATTTTTCACGTAAGTCGGGACCACCGAGTGAGCAATACTGAGGTTGGACGTAAGATATCAAGTAAAGATGACAAATTATTAAATGAGGCTACGGATCTACAACGATTAGGGTGGTTAGGATATGTATTACTTATCCTTAGCCACTCCCTATCATGACTTGCAATCCAGGCTGAGATAGGGGTATGTAGACAGAAAGCTATAGTCAGTGAAATCAAGACATTGTATCAGTTCATGAAGTCAGTGAATATTGGGCTACTTTGTACTAGTAGACCCAGACTATCTGGTTGGCATCAGTGAGACAACTCCAACCTGCTTGAGGTTGGGTGAAGCAGATTTGAGATTCAAAATTAATTCATATTTTTCTATTCACTGAATCCATCTCCTCTTTTCAAAACATATTCCACAATGTTTAATCTTTCTCATTACCATTGATGCTATTATTATTTCAGTTTATTTTCTATTCACCTTGTTAATTCAATCTCTCTCGGGTGATGTGGTACGAGAATTTGAACCGATGTACGTGTGTCGTCCATGTGAATAATGATTGGCTGACGAATCATTTGGTAATAAGAAACTGATTTCAATAATGAACACGTTTCTGCATACTTGAGAGGGTCAGCAAAAGTAAGTTATCTAAATTCATTACTAAGACTTAGTGATAGGATATTTTTCTTTTTCTTTCAGATCTTAAACAAGATAACTAGCTAAGACATAAAAATCTGATGATTGCAGTTAAAATTATTTAGATATCTCTAACTGATTTAAGATACATTTGATTCGCGTAAACATATTTTTAGTAACTTACCTAACTGCAATATACTATTATCAGATAATTCAAATTACCTTATATACTGCATAGATTTGTTAGTATCAAGGTTATCAATAAACAAACTAAGCTCCGCATATTATTACTTACCAGGAAATCTTCGAAATCAGTGTTTAAAATGATTACATTTCGCTATGTCACTTTTGAACACGAACAGATAACGCTTACTGCAGCATAGTTATGAAGAACCATGTTTAGCCTTCGCTATTTGGTTTGAAACTCCGGCAGCAGCCCTTCTAGGGTTAATGCCGGTCCCAAGCCTGGATAAAGGGGAACAGTTGGGCATGAGGCTAGCGACCACGTCCTGTATAATTATTTAAACTCCACCCTGAGAGTTTAAAAAATTCAATTAAAAGAACTATGATACCTCGTAATGAAAGCCGAGATTCTTTGGAAATCACGAGGTCAATGCTCATTCTGGCAGACAGAGCAACAATTAATATAGGTAGATAGAATGTTCGCACTGTGGGAAACCAGGAAGACCGTACAAGTATCGGCGGAGACAAGAGAACAATATGGCGGCTCTTATAATAAATGAAACCCATTGGATCCAAGCTGGACAAAAACGGCTAACTTCGGAAGAAATGATGTTGTTCTCTGGTCATGAAGAAGAAAATGCTTCGCATACACAAGGAGTTGTACTGGTACCGCTTAAAGAACTATAAGAAACACTTATAGGATGAGAGTCTTACGGATTCAGAATCATCAAAGCAATCTTCAAAACAAAGAAAGAAGAGATCACAATCAATTTTATCCAGTGATATGCACCCACCAATGATAGCAACGAGGACGATTAAGATCAGTTTTACGAGAGGCTGAAGTCCATAGTAGAGAAATGGTCGGGAAAAGTTCTGGCCATCCTGATGGAAGATCTAAACGCGATGGTTGAAATGGACGACACCGAGTATAAAGATATCATAAGATGACGCGGATTAGGAGAAAAGAAAGGGAATGATGAGAAATTTGCAAATTTACGCGCTTTCAACAAAAACGATGATAGGTGGCACCATCTTCTCCCTCCATAAACACAAACCTACATGGGTTTTAACGGATAACGCTACAGAGAACCAGATCGATAATATCTGCATCACTAGAAAATTAAGAAGGCTAATGGAAGATGTGAGGAACAAAAGAGGAGCTGATATAGCTTTAGATCACCACCTGGTGGTGGTCAAGATGAGACTGAAGTCAAAGAAGCGCTCGACAACTGTACGAACAGCAATCAACGAACTCAAGATAGCACTCAGCGTAAGTTTCAAACCTTACGAGATCTACTCAGAGAAAAGGAGACTACTATGAGGAACAAGTGGAAAGGGGTTGAAGAAACAATAACTTTAACATGCCATAGAGTGATGGGCTGCAAGAAACACCAGCATAGAGTTTATCTCTGTTGATACCCTGGATGAGATTCACGAAAGAGAACAAGAAGACAGGAATCAACAGCCGAACAAGAGTAGACAAAACCAAGGCATAAGCCAAATACACAGCCAAATAGGTAAATGAAAAGAAGCATTAAAGCTGATGAGCGGAAATATGAGGAATACCTACGAATGACAGACGGAAAGACTGCGAGGAGATATGAGACAACTAAATGATATGACGAAAAAAATAACAAGGAAATATAGTAAACCAGTATTTTTGGTTAGCGTCTTTTTAGCGGGTTAGTTTTCTACGGGATGAGGTCGCTAACTCCATGCCCAACCGTCCTTCTTTATCCGGGCTTGGGACCGGCAGTAGCCCTCTGAGGGACTCCAGGCAGCGTTAATAAACACCAGAAGATACAGGTGTTTATTAACAGTTGTCTACGCAAAATAATTCGGATCCGTTGGCCGGACACTATTAGCAACAACCAACTATGGGAAAGAACAAACCAGATCCCAGCGGAGGGAGAAATTAGGAAGAAGTACTGGAAGTGGATAGGACACACATTGAGGAAAGCACCAAACTGCGTCACAAGACAAGCCCTCACATGGATTCCTCAAGGACAAAGGAAAAGAGGAAGACCAAAGAACACATTAGGCCGGGAAATAGAGATAGACATGAGAAAAATGAAAAAGAATTGGATGGAATTAGAAAAGAAGGCCCAGGACAGAGAGGGTTGGAGAATGCTGGTCGGCGGCTTATGCTCCATTAGGAGTAGCAGGCGTAAGTAAGTAAGTGCGACCAGTCAAGTACAAGGAAAACCGACCACGGGAACTAAGGATCAACGGAACAGGTGAGTAGAGTACTTTGAAAAGATCAGATAGACAAGCCCCACTGAACCCACCAGACATCGAAGCAGCACACATATATCTTCTTACAAATGTTACTGCACCCACAATGAAAGAAATCAGCACAGCCATCAGACAAATCGAGAGTGGGAAAGCAGCAGGACCAGATAACATACCAGCTGAAGCATTGAAGTCAGGCATAGAAATACAAACATGCTCCACGTTCTATTCAGTAAGATTTGGGAAGAAAAGCAAGGGCAGTAAATACCCAACTTCGGGACCAAAAGGTTGACTTTCGTTAGAATCTATCATGTGCTGACCAAACCATGACACTACAGATAATCGCTGAGCAATCGGTTGAATGGAACTCATCAATATACATCAACATCCTTGACTATGAGAAGGCATTTGACAACGTGGATAGAACCTCCTTAGACACTACGGTGTACCTCAGGTTGTCATCATACAAAATTGATACGACTGACCACACTGTACAGTCGTGAGTAGAGGATAGCTGACAGATGCATTTCAAGTGAAGACCGGTGTCAGACATGGCTGCATACTCTTCCCCATCCACTTTCTTCTGGTGTTCGACTGGATTATGAAGATCTCTACATCTCAGGAGAAACACGAAATAGAATGGACAGCTCGGAATCAACCAAACGATTCGGACTTTGCAGACAACCTAGATCTTCTATCACATACTCATCAGTAAATACAAGTGAAGACAGCCAGTGCAGCAGTAGCCTCTGAAGCAATAGGCCTCAACATACACAAGGGAAAAGCAAAATCCTGAAATAAAACACAAAAAACAATAACTTAACCACACTTGGTGCCGAAACACTGGAGGAGGAGGAAAAAAAGAGACTCTCACATTTCTGGGCAGCATCATAGATAAACAAGGAGGATCTGATGCAGATGCGAAGGCACGGGTTGGCAAAGCAAAGGCACCATTCCTGGAATTGAAGAACATATGAAACTCAAAACAAATTCCAGCCAACACCAAAGTCAGGATATTGAGAACGTCAAGACAGATTGTACGATGCTAAAACATGGAGAACCACTACAATCACAATCGAAAAGCACAGGTATTTATCAATAATACTCCAGATCCATTGACGGGACACCATAAATAAAACCCTACTATGGAAGAGAACGAACTGGAGGGAGTTTAGGGCTATTTTGAAGGTGAAAAATTCTTTCACAGTCAACTTGTCGCATGTCATTGCACAGTCCCTTATAAATAAAAAAAACCATATTTGTTATGGAACATGTAACTCAGAGGAGCGTATACGAAGTATTTGTAGAATAGTTATCCCTAGGTGCTACATATTGAGAAACTTTCCTTTCTCACTGATAAATGAAAGCTAGGCTATCGGTGAGACATACCATATAGAACCTGCTAAAAAACCTTTCTAACTTTAGGACAGTAGACGTAACAGTAATGGAATAAGATCTTTTAGTGGGTATAAAATCCGCGTTACGGCAAGTGAAATATTACACTTTTAAAGAGGCGAATTACATTCGACTGAACATACCTTAGTCTGGTAGTCCAAATCACCTTTACATCGGTTTTTCGATTGAGCAGCATGCCAAAGACCTATCTCTTTTCCTTTCAAACCAGGTGGCCTATGACCTGTGAAGAATAAGAAAATATATAAACTGTCTCTCACTTTTGTTAGTCCGAGACATACTAAGATAAGTCAAGAAAACTACACGGCACCTAAGGATGGGCAGAAACATATAACGGCGAGACCAAATCCCCCGCGTCTAATGAACTTATATAAGTGGGACTAGCTTCATAAGAAACGTTATAAAATCGGCGACTCATTGTGAACTTCAGCGATGACGATTGACTGAAGACATAATGATATTTGGATATGGGAAAATCAGTGGGACTAGAAGTGGTACATTCTTTTTTGATTGCTTATACAGCTTTCAGTATATCATAGTAGCCCACTTCAGTTTTGTGTTTCAGTTTCAGTTTGTAAACGACAGGGGACTGTTCGCACAATTTTAGTCCTGACGATGGTTTTCTCTCAGTTGATTTAACTTACTTTTGAATGCATCGACAGATGTAGCTTCAATTACACGTTGAGGTAACTAGTCGATTATTCGTTGGGAAAGTCGATAGTCCGCTGACAAGTGAGTTGACCTAAGTTTGCGAATGTTCGCTTAAACCCTTTGTTTTGGAGGAAAACCAAATGATGCGATATCAGGTGCAAATTTAGCACTAAGTAACTTAAAAGGTGATAGTCACCTCTAGTCCTTCTAAATGACGAGGGAAATGTTTTATTTGGTCAATCTCTCTCCATAGAGTAAAAACTACATGCATAATCGGACGGGTCTTAGCATTCACATGGCAGAGGGCCATCCTTGCTGATCAGAGGATTCGAAATCTTTTGGTCTCTGTTGCATGACGGTCTGTAATACCTTTCAAATCTTAAATGACGATGACTCTTAAGTTATTGCATGTCTGAAGCATATGTAGCTCAATGTTATTTACTGTGTATGTATTCATACCTTGCTGACCAATATGAATAATAATATACTCGGAATCATTTATCAGCAACTGTCAAGTGCCAGACCATTCAGGTAACAACTGAAATTTATTTTGAAGCTCAAAACTATCATTTTGTAGCAGTAAATGAATCCCCAAAATAAATAGCTCTGAAAGTTTTCGACATGGGATGCTGACCACATTAAATTTAATGGACTAACCTAGCTGAAGGCGCTCGGTCATGCATCCGCACCAGATCACGAGTGGGCAAGCCGTGCTCAACAACCCCTGCGATCGCTAGCCAGATTAGATCAGACGATCCTCGATATATTGATAGCCTATCAAATATATCTTCGAAAATCCTCGCTCCTGTCTTTTGATTTCACTTTGTGGATACGATTCATAGTAGGCGTTGCTGGTTAAAGTTTTGTCAAACTCCGAATACCTTTGGCATCTTCAACTTTCATCTTTTATCACTCTCCATATCTTGATTTCATCAGCATACAACAAAGCCTATGATAAGAGTCTAGGAATGTCATTCACTTACAGGAGGAATAACACGCCCCGAAACTGTGCCCTAGTGAGCTCTATTAATCACAGTTTCTTATTCTTTACCGACATCTAACTAAGAAATCTTTAGTCCAAGTAAGTTACATTCAATCTATATATCACTCGAATTAGATAACAGCCCGTTGTGTGGAACTTTATTACCAGTTTTACTGAAATCAATGAAGGCTGTATCTACACGTAGCTTTTGATCTTTGATATTACGGGCTACCAATAAGTTTTTGAGTTAGGAATAGATTGTTCTAAAACCGTGCTGCTTATCAGAAACAGTCAGGTTTGTGTCTAAATAAATATTTATTTATTTGAATACAAAAATATTGGTACAAAGAGGCACCAGATATATATGCGCTACACACTGAGAATGTGAAGATATAAAGAATGTAATGTGTGTATAAGAAAAAAGAAGTACATTATTGAATAGGGTATTGTTGTTAAATAACAATAATGGGAGGGGCAGTTAAATTAGCAAAAGTACAGTCACAGAGAATTCTTCTCCTTAAAGAGATTACGTCTTTTTTATGAAGAGAGTAAAATAAAGTTACAACGGGATTGCGATTGGCTTCTATTCTGAGCCATCTCTTCCTCTCGAAATGCTCTCACATGGCTACATGCATACAACCACTGCCAGGGAAGTCCTACTCACTGCCTTTTCGTGGCGGGGAGTGCTGTTTATGAAACTGGGAAAACGAAAAGCGAACGTCCAGCGCTTTAAGCGGGTTAGTGGATGCAACGGATTCATCTAGACCGTGATTCCAAACTAATGGTGCTCATGGGCTCAAGTATCCTGAGGAGACAAATGGCATATGAACCAATCGTTGGTCACCAGGTAACACGGGACTGCATTTCCTGACGTTGCTCCACTGACTTGTGGATTGAACCTTTATGTCAAATGCTCGGGGTGTGGTTCCCTAAAAAACAACCTGCTTCGGTTTAGACACCAGGGTAGTATCTCAGCTCCCACACAAATCGAATAATTTACATGGCTCATATCTGTTTGGTGCCTCGTTGTACCAATGTTTATGTGTTTAAATAAATAAAATCTGGTAACAGGTGAAACTAACTTGTTCTGTAATGATTGCATAATTTCCAGAGTGTGTGGGAAGTATTTGTATGAATCGAAAGGAAAGATGTCTCTCTGGTATTTATGTGTAGCGGTGGATAAATCTCCGAAGTCAGTAGCTCTGTAAGTCTTCGATATTCGATGCTGGCCACATTAAATTGAGTGGACCTGTAGTGGCACTGGACCATAAGCACACAATCCTCAGATGAACACGAGACTACTCTTAAAATTGACATTCACTATTTAACGCGGAGAAATACCTAACGATAGAAAGGCGGAACAATGGGTTGAATTAATTGGAGTTGATCGAATGGCATGGCTCGGGCATGCGGGCGTGGTCCTTGCGGAATGTTACCTTATATCTTATTCATATTCAGTGAGTTGGTGTAGACGATGATGTGACTTTCACGTATGATCTTATAGATTATGCAGTTATACCATGACAAATCTACTATTTTAGGATTAGGTCTAATATTGGAGCAGTACTAATATCATTGTGGACCATAATTCTAAAGACTCACCTTGCTGAAGGCGCTCGGTCTTGCAACCGCACCAGATCACGGGTGGCAACTCTTTGCTCAAGTCCTTGATATATTGATAATCTATCAGACATAACTTCGAACCTCTTCGCTTCTGATTCCACAGGTTGGGCACGTTTCAATTATAGGTGTCACTAGTTAAGGTGTTGCCAAACTCCAAATACTTGTGGCATTTTCATATATCGCTAAATTAGCTTAAGAATACCTGTTCTGTTCGTGATCGCCATCCATAAATGACGTAGTGCTACTGATTTACAAAATCCTGTGATGAGACAATCCTCTAAGTCATTTGCTTATTACACGATTATGAATGCTTTACGTATTCGACAAAAACTTTAACAAATGTGTCTATACATAGTCCTCTCAGCTTAGGTAGTGCCGAATCATGGATATTTAGGGCTTCTCAACTAAACAAAATGATCTCAGAGATATTATAATGCGTTAGCCTGTTAAGTAGACCTTTTATCAACCTATAGTCATGTTTAAAGTAAGTTCTAAGCTCCGAGATCTTGCTGTTTTTGATTTCATGAGAGATAACCAACGTACCACTTTGATCAGCCTTCGAGTTAAGGGAATCGGCTTTTCATGATATCCGATCGTTTCCTATCGCTAATTTGTGTTCTTTCATCTGTTTTTAGTAGGGTAGCAATCATGGTTGCGTTACATACACTGTGGGATCGTGAATAATTGTCAATGACTGGGGTGGTCATGTTGCATTTCTTGCTAGAAACGGACAAAGCCTTATGGCTGAATTTTCCAGGCTTTTCCTGAATTCTGCTACTAGTGGTGAGGTACACAGAAGAAACCTTTTCCCCTTTGTCTACACTCCTGACAGATGGCCTTAAGGTTGGTCGTTCCTTCTATGGCCCACGTGGGTCAGTTGACTGTGAGTATTCTTAAGATAACTGTACATCGAGTTATTTATCAACAGACCAAGTAGCTGATGATCGACCAATAGTATGAATGAAACTGAGCAAGAAAAAATGACACTTCTTAGTTGCTTACAACAATGTCAAAAATGTTACCGAACTACAACAAGGTACTCCATAGTTGAGTGATGAATTAGTCACCCCACTTTACAAGACATAGTAGAGGGAGTATCCGAAAAACCACAAACCATCTAATGTAGTTAACGTAGTTAACTGTAGTTGCATAAAATCAAAAAACAGTCTTTTAATTCTGAATAGAAAAAACGAACAATACAACAAATAGCAGTGAAATACCTTGCTGAGTCTCACTCAAAATAATTTTTTACTACCGTTGGACATTGGATTTCGCCGAATACCAATTGATCTGGGTATTTGCTAGAGGTTTTCACACTTTGATTGGCTTCAAGATCCCCTCTAAATTTTCACGAAACTTCCCATAATTTCCACAAAATTAGGTGAATGGATAGATTTGGACTGGAAACCTCTTGGAAAGATTAGGTGCAGTTCGTTTTCAAGTGCAAGCTTCTCAAGAAACTTACCTATTCTACATATTATATGCTCCCTACGCAGGGCCTGTATATATTCGACAATCCACAGGTAGCATTTACGATCGAAAAATACCAAACGAAACTTAGAAACACATCCCCGTCATGATGTATGTACTAATGTGGAGTAGACTTCCTTTAGAAAGATGGATTTCATAAGTCCGTAGAACTTTTAAAAGAAACCTTTGTTATCACTGGTCTGAGCACTTGCGAACACTTCTGCATCTTACTCACTATCATAAGCCCCAGTAGTGTCGGTCACTAAGTTAAGCCCATATAACTTTTTTTACCTTCTGGACGGGCAAATTTATTAATTTTGCTTGAGTCGCGTTTTGACTTTTGGATACATATATTTTGTACTCCCACTGGTCTGGACAAGCAATCAAAAGAAACAAAGCGAAGAAAGCAAAGTAGGGAGAGCGAAGCAAGATGGCGCGCAGTGAAGAAGGCGTGTGAGCCAACTCGATTTATTCAAACAATAATCGATATTTACAATCACACTAATATAATGGAAGGAAAAGTCAATTTTAGATTGATTTACTAATTATGAGTTTTCTTCAACATTACTTCCGTTCTGATTTAGCGTGATGATTACTCAATGTAGTATTTGTTTTGTTTTCTTGTATGACATTTTATTCTGTATAATATACGATATTCTTATAATCATCTGACATGAACCGTGTTATAACCCTAAGTACTTTTCATAAATGTGATTTCATCCTAATTATTAGTCAAACTATCAATATATACAATCAATATGTACAATCAATATATAAACAAATGTATTTCTGACTGTCTTCGTCGTGTTTTAGGGTTAATAAATATTCATGT